CGTCACAGTACTTATTACATTTAGGGTGACGAGCACCAAACAGGAGAAAGTCAAACTAATATAGTATATAACTAAAGTAGTAGGAAAATAGTGACTTCATTTGCTACATACACTATTTTAGTATTCTAACTTTAGGAGTGTTTTACGCCAGGAGTATTGTAGATTACTCTTCAGAGAAAATTTAAGGTTGGTGTGCACCAGTGTATAGTTGTGTACTAAACTAGTAAGTTAATGATAAATTTGTGCTAAAATATACTACTACCCCATAGTAGGTGTAAGTTATGGAGTATTTCGTTTTAAATAGGGTTAACCATGTATATTGTTTTCAGTAGATTATTTTTTTATGTTAACCATGGATTATGCTGAATAGGCCTACATAGACTATTTATTGAATGCACCAAATGCAGTACGGTTCGTGATAAGAGAGACCCTATTGAAATATTAATTACCTATTACTGTAATTTTTAATTAGTAAAACAAAAATAAACAAAAAAAGTAGAAACTAATTTATACATGAAATACTTTTTTAAAATACCACGTTTTTAAACGCCCTAAAAAGTAGAAAATAATTTTAAATATATGGAGAGAATAAATAATACTTGTAAGATTTAAAACAAAAAACGTGGGGCGCATGTAATAGATAATAATAAAGAGGGGTAGCTGTCGATTTGAAACAAATAAATTAACACAGTACATCGTGTATGTATGATTTACATCTATATTTCCTAATTGAGGTTAAAAATAGCTAATAATAATTCAATCTGTGAAGATAATCGTAAATTAGATATTGCATATGTGCCCTACGTTTATCGTTTTAGACCTTACAAGGATTTATTCTCTCCGCATATTTATAAATTAATATTTAAATATTAATTTTATAATCAAATTTATAAAAATAAATATAAAAAAGATAAAATTAAATGAAAATGAAATAATTAAACAAATTAACTATTTGAACACGGAGGTTTTAACAATAAAAACCAATTTTCAACACAAAACTCTTGAAGCTTAATACTAATTTGCACTAAACACAAATAAATATTGCAGTATTTCTATATTTTGAGGTAATGTACTGCGTGGGACTGCACAACTAACAGAGTATTCACAGAAACTACAGAAGTTTTAACTAAAGAAGCATCCTGTACTTGAGCTCTCCAAACAAATCTCCAGTAGTAAAATACTTCTGTAGTTGAATACTTCTTGTGTTTTAACTACAGAAGTTTCACTTACTAATGTAGTATATTTTACTGATTTGGTGCTCGTCACCCTTAGAATGCAACGTCCAGTTTCCTGTTACATTTTTATAATGCTGTCATATAATGTGTCATATGTATCACAAATTATGTAAACAGGAAAATAATAATAACATTGGGGGTTTGCTCAGACTTGAGACACCCTATAACATAGTTAATTTAGATGTAGTTAAACATGTTCAATTATCTTTAGGCTTCCGATGATCAATATTTTTGTAAAGAACTTGTAAACATTTTTATGTCAGTTTGAAAATACCTATTTGTAAAAAACCATGGATTTGTACGCAATGTCCACAACTTTACTTATGAAACTTGTTAGAGGCTTAGGATGTTGATAGTTCTGAGACAAACTGAAAGTTAAATTGATTAAATAGTTTTATTATATCTATAAACGTTTTAATTTATTGCGTTATTAAACATCATGAAACGTGAGCACTTTGCTCAACTGGATTTCACTGCTATGAAAGAAAAGCAATCCTAGTATTTGATTGATGGTTTACGTTTTTACTTTACTATGTATATAGGCAATTTTATTAACAATAAAAAGTAAACATTATATAACAAGCCTAAGGTGTGCAACTCCTTATATGCCTATTTTCATTTTATGATTCAAATCAATGTCGGTGAAGGGGGGGGGGGGCGCAACTACTCAGGCCCATAGCGCATCACACACTAACTGATGGCTGAAGACAATATATTGTAATCTTAGTTCTGTCCAGTTAATGCAGAGCGTGTGTTATTGTTTAGTATTTGTATCTTGTTATTTGAGTTAGTTCAGTCAAATAAAACAATCTAATTAAAAACAATAACTCTTTCTCTAGTTTTAAGTTTTTAACGTAACATATGCATGTATAAAGTACTTTAGTTAAGCCTTCAAAATATATCATCCTTATGGTTGGAAACACAAAATCATATTTAAATACTACAATAATTATAGATCAGAGTAAACACGCCTCTTGTAAATAGTTTTGAGTTTTTTAAACAATTCCCAATTAGACTTGTTATAAACGTGTACAAATTTATGTAATTGAGCACGCAATCACGCACACTGAACTTCTTAGTGGTTTTATCATAATGTAAATAAAGTAGCTGATGAAGTCTCAGGCTAGGTAAAGATCGTATATCTTTAGGTGTTGATAGAGTAGGTCTCTTCAACACTATTTGAAAAATGTTTGAAATGAATTTTGATTACCAACAAGGTTATAAAAAAACATTTACTTTTCTCTTAATTTTTATCTGAACCCAATTTAGCTGTATTAATTTTAGAAGAAACCCATAAATCAAATTTTACTTAAAATTTTAAACAAAAACATTTTTAAATTAAAAATTTTATGATGTTTGCATTTTGAATAATACAATAAAATAAATATTTACTAGTGTACATGTTGCTCGAAATCGAGCAATTACAAAGAAATAAAGTAGTTATTTAAAAACAAATGTAAATTAAAGTAGGAAATATTTAATTTCAACAAAATCATTAAAATGTACCCAATGCGTTTTGTTGAATTGAAATAGTATATTTCATTCCTAGGACCGAAAGTGGCATTTTCCGTTGCGCGCCCAAGTTTTTGTGTGAGGCGAAGCCGAACACAGGGAACCCCAATTTCAAGTGCGAGGCGAAGCCGAGGGCGGGAATAATGGAGCAAGTGCCGGATAATAACTTTCGGTACGAGTTATGAACGATATTTTTCATCACGACGCAAAAATACACAAACACAGAATAGCAGACCTCAGTAATATTAAAACAATTTGATTTCTCAATTAATTTGATTGAACATCAAAATAAAATAAAATCTTCTAAAAAGAAACCTACGTATATTTCTCAATAAATTTTGTTGTAAAGTTGTTTTTAAACAACTTTTAAAAATACATACAGCTGATTTAAATTATTAAATTAAACCGTAACAAAACAATAGCGCGCGTAGTAAATAAATGGAGAATTAATTGAGAGCGAGGGAAAATCAGCTTTCATTGATGTCAGTTGTTATCGAAAATAGTTACTTTCGTTAAGGAGTGATGAAAAATAAATTACAGCAATTAAATGATACAGCTGATCAAAATGTAAACAATTATGTTCTTCATAAGGAAAACATGGGAACTTTCAAAGCCACTGGGGCAGAGCCCAAGGGACTATTTCAAAAATGTAAGGCCATTTTGCAAATCTACGCCACACGCTCTTTCCAATGAGACGTCAACGGATAAAATCGGTTAAGAAATGGCGGAGGAGTTCAACCGGCAAAGTTTCATGTAGCGTATTAATTATATAGATTTATGTTTGAAATTTCTTGAAAAACTGTCTAATTGATATATGTTATAGTAATTAAATTTTATACATACATAAAAAATCTTGTAATGGAACAATCTAACTACAGTAGATTTTTACCCAGTAATATTTTTATAATAATCCTTTTCAATGAGAATAAATAAAATTGAAATTGCCATAAAAGTTTAATTATTATTTTATACAGGGTTGGTGAAAATTCATAGAACAGTTAAATATTTAAAAAAAAATAATGACAGAGCTCCAAAACTTGGTACAAACAAAGTCATAAACACATTTAAAAACGTTATTCAGGGATACGCAATACTATGGGAACCAACTACTAAGGGGGGAAAATCTTAAATGTTTTTGTTGATATCAACAACTAAATGGGGTGCATTGAATCAGCAGGAATAAGGAGATATGAATACAAATTGCACGTCTGGGATTTTATATTCATCAGTGACGTTGGCATTCATTCTTGATAAACATTTTGTTATCACATTGAGTTCTCCTGTCAATGGAATCTATTTGTTACAAAAACATGATCTTCCATCTTTTACTATAATCAAGATAATCATCCAAAAATATTAACCTAGGTCTAAGGTAGGACACTCACCAAATGCCACTAGTGGCACCATTTTCCCCATCTTCAATTCTACTGCAAACTGTATATTTTACCACTTGCAGTCTTGACTTATAGACTTTATCAATGAGTGTGTTTGTCTATATCATAAAGATGGCAGACAGATAATTTGTTAATGTATTCCCTACATAACTAAAATGTGTTTATAAATAAAATTGTTGTTAACATTTATTATTTTTTTATTAAAATATTTTGTTCATAAATTGTTTGTGAATATTAAAGTATTTTTAAAGAAAATTACTTGATCAAAACTTCAATTTTATTCTCTTAAAATTTGTGTTGTGATTGAACAAAAATATGGGGTTTTGAATGTTTTAAATAATAGTGTGATTAAATTAAACTAGATAATTTAGTTAAGATTTTTTACAATAACTGTGATCATAAAACTGTATTCGACTTGTTCCCCCTGTACCCCTGTAACAACCGTATTCTGCAAAAGGGTAAAGTTGATAAGGGTAGCTTCAATATTTTATTTCTCGGTTCTGGAATATGTTCAGTGACAAAATAACTTTTTTGTGTCATATATCACAAATACCAAACTTTTGAATGGATTTGATGAATATAAATTCAATAATATTGTAATTGTAATAAACAATTTGGTATTACAAGCACAAAAGGTAGAGTAATTACAATATATCATCAAGTATGGTGAGGTTATGGTAATAGGATGAATAGTAATCATAATACAAAACCATACTACAATTCCTGAACTTTTGCTTTTTAATTAAATTTTGCAATTACAGTCAATTGTTAAATGTTATGCAGTAAATGATTTTAACTTAAAAAACATATTTGAATTTAGTTGGGAGCTGTTCTAGAACAACTAACATTCACGGTTGCGCCCTTGCTCTGATAACGATAACAATTGATAAAAGGAAATAGAATATTTACAACCAAATGATTTAGAATGCAAGGAATATTCTTTGGTGTAATTTTTGGTAAGTGCAAAATTACTTATGGCTTTCTTTGTTTGCAAGTACCGTAGTGCTTTTTATATAAACTAGAGGTCGTCCAGTGGTCTAAAACTCGGCTAAAATATGTAATGTACAGTATTGTACTATTTACACCCCACTCAAAACATCTGATTGGAATTTCTTCCATTTGTTTTGATTTACTGTTTATATTTTGTTGTTTTTTTGTCACCAGCATGGCATCCCATAAGGTCTATCTTAATTTTATTTTAATTTCAAATAATTTTTTGTGCTTATTTTTGGGCCTATTTTAATTTATAAATTGATTCTGCACATCTACAGAAAAATATCTTTTCATCACTCCGTAACAAAAGTAACTATATTTTCGATGACAGCTGATATCAAAGAAAGTAGTCGTTTCCCAAGCTCTAATAATTTAGGGTGAGGGAAAATCAATCAGCTGATTTTCCCTCGCTCTCGATTAGTTCTCCATTTACTCACTACACACGCTAGTGTTTTGTTAGGTACTGTTATTTTAATGATTTGAATCAGCTGTATGTATTGTTAAAAGCTGTTTTATTCTTTTAATTTGATGTTTAAAAGTGATTTATTAAGAAATATACGTAGGTCTAGGTTTCCTTTAGAATATTTTCTATGATTTTATGCCTTAAAATTGTATTGAAAATTTATGTAGGTTTCCTTTTAGAAGATTTTATTTTATTTTGATTTTTAAACAAATTAATTGAGAAATAAGAGATGTAGATTTTCTAAACAGTATGACATAGCATAAATAGTTAATTTAATATGTTTTATTGGTAAATAAGGAGAGCTGTAGTTGCAAATTAAAACATTAATTTACAATGAATAAAAGAATTAAACTTTTGCTGTAGCTAAAAATTGTACTGATCATGGTTAAAACAATGAAATAACATGTGTTTTTTATTATCAATAACACTTATTGAAACAAAGGTGCAAACCACATTAGAACACTTAAGCTGGGTTTTCCTAGGCGCAGAAACATGATGTTGAGAGCAGAGTGTGGGGAAGTAATTTTCCGCTCCTCTAGTGGCGGTCTACTCCGCTTCTAGGATAACAGTAGCCTACCATTAAATTACCTAAGACAAGCAGAGTGAACTCCTTGCCTTGGAAAACCCATCTTTATACCAACACAAATTTTTCACTCATATCTTGATTAAAATATAGTCTACTATAATTTTGCTTTGTATATGGTGTTACAATAATGTATATGGTTCTTAACGTCTACGCAATCAGGGGTGATACTTCACTACGGCCATTTCGGAGATAACTTTGTGTTTTCGTGTATCCGTCCTGTTTTTATATGTCTTAATATTTATTCAACCCCTGACGCAATGCAAATGAAGACTTTTTGTGTTAAGTGTTAACAAGACTATAGTTTAGTGTACCACTACGCACCTGACGATGGAGTCATCTCTGAAACGGCCGTAGTGAAGTATCACCCCTGATTGCGTAGACGGTAAGAACCATATAGGTATATTATTATTTTATTTTCACGCAATCTGTTACACTCAAGAATATAATATTATGGTGTTTCAAGGTCATTTTTCATTTTTCTCTGTTTTGTCCAATGGTATTTTTAAGCTGTTTTGTAAGCTTCTTAGTATTTTGTTAACAATTTTATTCATCTTTATTCTTCAAATCCTACAATTTCAATTCCCAAAAGTAATACCTCCTAAAAATTGATAAATTCTTACAAAGACTTATTATGATTATGACCATATGAGATGGAGACGCCACCTTTGTGCGTATATTCATAAACTACAGTGAAGATACCCTGATATTACAAATGATCAAATATCTCTGAAACAAATCTACTTTTTTGCTTTTTAGCGATATATAACTGACATCCGTAAATAAGTTGCGTTTATGTAAGTAGTTCACGACTGGTTCTATTTTTGGTCAAAGGATGACATTGTATTTATGAAGTGGTAATTATTTTTAACAACACCTCAAGAAAGTGATATGTTTTAGGGGTATTGTTGATTTGCTATGAGACACTAACACTCTTCAGGGCAGGGGTGGAACAAGATTCCGTGGAAAAGTCCAACACAGAAACCGAAGAGGAAACTCGTCAAGTTTTACTGGAGGTTTAGAATAAACCTAGTTCATAAACTGTTCGAACAAAGCTCAAACTACCTTGATGTATTCAAGCTACGTCCCAATGAGCTGGTTGTCGGAATCATTGATGTGCTTTATGTTTCTTATCGAGTTACCACTGTCGATAATGGACATAAGTTTAGAATTGTTTAACTTCTTAAAGAGAAATTAAATAAATAAAAAAATTGTAAAAATATTATCTGAAGATTAAAAATAGTTTGTCTTTGAAAAGATTTTTATTTTATCAAATCTTTAGTAGGTAGGTTTTGAGAGAATACTTGCATAAAAAATGTGTTGATTGGAAGCAGCTTGAACGGTTTGGCAGTATTATTAGCAATGATTACAAACCCTATAAGAAGAGCAATGCCTTTGTTAAAAATTCTGTTTAGGAATATTTGAATTTCGGATTCTTTTTTAATAAAAAAATGGCTACAGCTGGTCCATATAGATGGGAAGTCTAGGTTGAACCATTGACTATTAGTCAAAGGTTGAACCAAAAGAATCATAAACTTTGATGTACAAAAATCATACAAATTAAAAATGTTATAAAATAAAATTTTATATTTTTCCAATTCAAATCATGCAGGTTCAGGGTTGACCCAGGGTTGAGGATTGTAGTAGCTCGGGGGGTTGGTGACTGTTAAACCTGCAACAGGCATTTGAAATTAACTAATAATGTTATCTAATAACTAATTAATTATTTTTTATATCTGTAATCATTTGTTTTGATTTTATAGTTTCATCTTTTACATTTCAAGATTCAGTGAACAATGTGAGTCTACTCTGCATTTGTGTATCATTTGTCTACCATTAAACTGTCACAAGCTATCCATTCAAAACATATTACCCGAGAAAAGATATTTTTTTATTTTACATTAAACTTTGGTTTATGATTTGGTAAAACTAAACCTGAAAATCTAACAGATAAAGAAATTTTAAGATACTAGAACGCCTCTCACATTTTTCAGGGTAAAATTATTTTTTACTGTCGGGTGAATTTAATTTGAACCTGTGTCTGTGCATAGTTTGATATACTCTTAAAGTAAACTCTGTTAATAGTTTCAAAACTTTAAAATGGTCATGATTGAAACTGACATACTTATCAAGCCAAGGTTGCTAGGGACAGGTCGAGGTTTGTACTTTGCCATCTTCATCCACTCTGAGACTTTTTCTCTGGACACTGTTTTCTTCAGTTCAACCTCACGTCGCTGATGCTCCTCATTTCGAAGTTGTCGTTCTTTCATTTCCTTGGCTAAAATGTAACAATGCATTGTATTGCAGTGAGTGTAACAACGGAGGACTTCCGTCCTACAGTCGATGGAGGACAGTGAAATAAGGTCTCCATCGAGCTCCCTTAGCGACAAAAAATCTTACACTAGTGCAATTTTAATGCACTACTGGCATCAGGCACCATTTTTCAAGCCCCTAAGCAACGACCTACACCTCACTCTCGTCATAGTAACTGAAAACGTTTTGAGACAAAATCAACACTACCGCCAAATATGAATCACGTTCAGTGATTAGACTTCTGTGGGAAGGGGACAAATCCCTTTTGAAATACCCTGCAAGGTGACAGATGTGTATGCAGAAGTGTTCAGACGTGCTTGAGGTGGCTTAGAGAGTTCACAGGATGATGTACACATTTGCACAATGAGGCTGGCAGCAGATGTTCATTAGTTTCCATCAAGGCAGGGATAAAAATGGAGGGAACTTTGTTTGCTGATCAGTGTGTTTAAAATCAGGGCTTATCATTGGCCTTGGTAGCCTTATAGGGGCGCAAGTCAGTTCAGCAACTCTTGTTAAGTCACATTGCAAACAGCCCTGACTCTGATTTTAATCACTGACTCAAATGAGTCTGATGAATAACTGCTAAATAAAACTGAAAACATTATAAACACAGTAAACATTTTAACAAAGACCTCCATAATCTCTTCGCCACTTACACTTATTTTCTACGAGTAAAAACTGTGCTCTGTGCTCCATCTACATTCCTGAAGTAAAGATACACTTCAATAGCAGCATTGACTATATATAGTCAATGATAGAGGTTAGGTTAGACCACAAAAATCTAATCATAGAACCAGATTCACGCTTGGCAGGAGTGTCAATTTGACTTTAACTTCAGATACTATGTCAAGAATATTCATCAGATAGGGTTGGGACCCGACTAGAATATTGCTGGAAGAAGTCAAATATGATAACACTGGTGTCAGATTTTAACTAGTTGCGGGTGGCCACAAGCTTGATACAGCAGTTTTTTTCTCTTTTATTTTTGCTAGGTACGAGTCTGGGATTGTTTTTCACATTACTTCAGACTAGACCTAGGGGTTGGGGCATTATCACTTAGATAAAATCCATTGGTGACTTGGCGGAAATCGAACCCGGGACCTCAGGGACTGAAGTCCCGCGCTCTAACCACTACGCCAGCTCGCTCCCCTACGATGCAGCAGTAAATTTACAGATAACAATAATAGTCCAAGGTCATCATTGGCAGGATTTGTTGGTTGACAGCACAGTGTCTGTTGATTTGCATTTTGCAATATAAATAGGTACTATTTCTTTTAACTTGAAAATAGCATTCTAGTATTTATACAGGGTGCGGCAAAGAAACCGATCTATTTTCTTCAGCGCACTGTTCAGCGACAGGCCGTCTGAGGGTGGTGGGAGTAGGCTCGTTGGATAGCCTATACGATGCCATTTCTTGTAATCATAGAGCAGTGGTTGTATGAGATACGTACGGTTGTTATCTAGTCGTTTTTAAAAGGTAGTAAATCAGTCATTGCAACTCAGTGGCAGTTCCGTGCTTTTATTTATTAGGTCGACATGAAGAGGTTCCATCAAGATTATCTGTATGGATATCACAATTAAACAGATTATTATTGTAATTAAGTGATGAAAATTAACCTCAAAATTTGTGTAGCTGAGCAGTCAGACATGTTCAGCAAGCCGCTGGTTTTCGGGCGGGCCTGCGAGGACTGTTTTCCACAGCAGCACGAACTCTATCAAATGTTAGTTGTCTGGCGTCCGATCTGACTTTGGGCAGCCTTTCAGCTTCCTTTTCAACGCAGAAGCCGTTGTTCTAAAACTAGTTACCCACCGCATTATTGAGATACGCAACGAAACTTCTCCATTTTGCCTTAATTGAAAGAATGCATGAAACTGCCGATACCGCTGAGTTGCAATGAATGAATCCAATACTTTTTAAAAACAACTCCATAACAACCGCACATAGCTCAAGCGACCACAGCTCTATGACTAAAAAAATGGCCTTGTGTAGGCTTCCCAATGAACCTACGCCCACCACTCTCAGACGACCTGTCGCTGAACAGGGCTCTGCAGAAAATTGATCGGTTTTTATGCCGCACCCTGTATTATTAATAAATGCAATGGGGATTCAAAGTTAAACCATGATAATTTCCTTTTTATATATGAACATTTTGAGATTCATCGGCTGAAAATGAAATGTTTATGTGAAACTTGATTTTATTTCATGATCTTAAAATTTTGAAATTAAAAAGTACTTTTGCTGGATACATCTGCACGTTTATTGAAAATACCTATTCAGTGTGGCAACAATTTGTTTTAGGAGGCCTCAGCTTCTCCCATAAACTCTCTTGTCATTGACAGTTGAACTCCTCGTAAGTTAATACAAGATGTTTGGACCACTCAACCAATCAGGCCCAATTACCTTTAGTAAATCCCTAAAACAATGCCTTTGAACTAAACACTCAAAAATAGTAGTTCTAAGTACATAATCCGTTTTATCCTGCTTATTTCTTGTTTTGAAGTATATTTTTTTACTAATGAGGCATTTGCAATACAATCGTCAAAAGTAAATAATTAATTTCAGCTATAAATGCATTATGAAGTAGTAAGTACATCTCAAAACTAACTTTGCCCTAAGTTATAAATAATAATATTTAATTGCTTAGTAATTATATACCTTTTCTCTCTTCATCTTTCTTGTGCTTCCAGATGGCATAGCTAATTTCCGCTGCCTCTCTTTTTACTTGTTTCTCTTCTAAGGCTATCTGTTTAATTTTTTCCTCCTGTTCCCGTTTTCTCAACCGTTCTAGTTTCTTAGTTTGCAACCAGTTTTGAAAAACCTCTTCCCGTATTTTTGTCCGTTCATTATCATTGAGGTCACCTGGTACGGAGGCAACAGATTTTGCGGAATTGCTATTGTTTTTGGGCTGGGATAAAACCAACGATCTTGATCTATTGATGGAATTAGGCTGAAATTTATGGGAAATTGTCATAATACATGTAGAAAATTAATTCTATGATTTCAGGTAGCAACATATTGTTATAACATTAAATTCTTCTGTTAAGTTTTATAATTCAAAATAATATACTAAAAATATGTTGGACTTTTAATTTTAGCATCACCTTACTTTTTACTTACTGATCTGACTTTTCATGTTCATACAAAGAAATGAGGTTTAAAATAAGGGTCAGGTATGCAAGACTTTGCTAAATTGCTGTGCTAATGGGTGGTTGTGTGAGATTTTTATGTCCTAGGACGCTAGTCACGAGCCCAGAATTGTTTTTCACATTACTTCAGGCTAGACCTAGGGGTTGCGGCATTATTACTTAGATAAAATCCATTGGTGATTTGGCGGAATTTGAACCTGGGACCTCAGGACAGTTTTGTTAACATCCATCCTAAACTCATCAGTTATGGAGCTTAACTAAAGCATAAAATATTCTTCAGGAAAACCACACTGGGTTGGAATTTAGAAACACTGGTAATTCTGATTATAACAATTGTGTCTTACCTGTTCAGACATTTTTTTTCTCAAATTTTGAATAACTCTTTTTGTAGTAATCAAATACTTGGTTATGTCATGTATGGTGCAAAACTACTAGTTTATTTTTGTAAATGTTGGTTTAGGTCTACACCCTGACCAAATAAAAATATGTGAAGTAAGAATTTTGGTTACTTGTTACCATGTAAACCTATTCATTTAAGATCTTATATTTTGTTTCAATACCTCAACCTATTCTTAGACCCAACCGACACTAATAATTGTGCATTTTAAAGGTTCAGTATTAGGTCTAGACTCCGGCTATTTCTAAGCATAGGTGCCCGAGGAGTGAATGAGTTAACAGGCTTAGAACCAGGCAACGTATTTCCCAGTCCCCTGTATCTGGTATAGATGCTATGGATATACTCAAGTTGGTAGCTACAAGTGCAAAATTAGATTTTCGTACCTGTGTCAGTCTTGAGGTTTTTAATGGCTGTGTTTAGTAATATAATAACTATCTAGTAATCTAAGGCCCTTTTTTACACCATTTTCATTGTTGTCAAGGTCTATTGTAACTTTGTTATTTGATGACCAATAAAGATTTATGATTTATGAAAAATACATGTAGCACCACAGATAGCAATCTGAACTCAAAACCATTTGATCGGTTAAATCTATAGATTTGGAGGTAGCTTAGAGCTATGTTGAGTAACTCCCATGTAAGGTGCCTAGATTTGGGAATGGTTAGCAACATCTCTTATGATTGCAACAATAGCCCTATTAATGCAATTTATGTAACGTCAATATTGTTTTTAGTGCCTAAATATTGCAGTATCGTAATACTTAAAATAAATTAGTAATTTGGAAACAAATGTTTAATTTACTAATAGATTTTGTTTAGAAACGATACATACAACACCTTTTAGTCACAATGATTATATGGTAAGCAGGTTTAAATCAATATATAAATATTTATGTTGTAACATCACATTTAATGGCAACTAAACACTAAACTTTGGTGAGCTTCATTTTCCGCTGAGTGTGTTTCTTAGCCGAGACAGTTTAACTTGAATGTGCAACAGGACAAGAAAAGCGTTTTTCTTGTACCATTCCATGTTGTAGTCGAGATGTGTTCGCCAGTTCTTGTCCAGGAATGCCTTGTAGAACACAGACATCTCATCCGCCGACATCTGTTCACTAGACTCTGATTGGTTGGAAGCCATGAACTCCTTTCTCTCCTGGTACAAACTCTTGTAAGATATCTTCATAGGTGATGTGCCATCTTAGTTGTTACATGCACCAGTATTGCAAGACTTCTTTGGAAGCACAATACAAACCGAACCATTAAATTTAGCAGATAGAAAAATTATTTGAAATTGATCACTACTAAATGAGTGTTGTGTCTTAAGTGACTGTTTCAATTATTAAGAGCCAGGGGCAAGCAAGGGTAAAGGGTAAGGGGTAAGCAAAGTACGCAGTAGCGTAGGGTGCCAAGCAAAAGGGAGCGCCTAAGTGCTCTCCAATGTTCAGTATTAAAGGAGACTAGAGGCATTGAATATATAAATGTTATAGCCTATATTCAATTATAGATGGTAATAGTTTATTTACATCACCCACTAGAACTGTTGTAGGAGTAAGGAATTGGGGTAAATTGTGTACATCTAAAGGTGAGAGACCATTACATATACTCCCGCTAGGGCCTACTTGATTTATTATTCTTCCCAAATAACAATAATCACAAATAATGTCCATTTGTTAAAATGGACTCGTCCGGCAGACATTTCTACGATTCAGAAACTCCTATGCTCTTTTATTTACTTATATTTTTCATTTAGCCATAAAAATTCCTTACTATAACATCAGTGTTTAGGGTACTTGCGGCCCTAGGCCTTAAATATGAGCGGCCTCATGATCGCAGCGAAATCATCACCATCTCCCTCAATAACAGGACATGATCATCATCATCCACAATCTCAAGAAATTAAGAACATCTCCCGTGTTTACGATAAATTATCAAATTCTGCAATCTCTACGATCACCGTGAAATCACAAAAATCTCCCACAATCACAGGGTTATCATCATTGCCATATGCGGTCGCTGCGAGATTGTGAACATCTTCCGTGATCACAGAACATTATCATTGCTACCCACGTGACAATTTCTGTGAAATCGCAAATGTATCCTACGATCACGATCTTGATTGTTGCCCGCAATCGTGTACATATCATGAACATATTTGCAAAAAGGGGGCCGCAGCAATTTTACAAAAATCTGGCACTACGTTTTTAATTAGGGGGGGGGGGAGTTGGCGGAATGTTGTTCGCTTACAATAGGAAAATGTCTAGAACTGGCTTTTAAGTCCTTAAACCGGTGTATTTCAAAAACATTTATTCAAATTATTCAAGGACATAATGATGAGTTTTTGGTTGTGGATAAAGGTTGGAAATTTTGGTAACCCGGCTTAGCACATATATTAAGCAAAATCAAGTAAAGTAATGGCAGGGTAAACTTAATGTGTAATATGTATAAATAAATTGTATCAGTATTCCGAAACAAACTTTCGGTTAAGGTTTGTCAAGTGTCAACAAACCTTAAATCATGGGCAAGTGGTAGTAACTATGATATTTTATGGGGAAAATCATTAAAGTTGCAATAACTTGTGAACTATCTTTTCTTTTTACAGCATTGGGGGTTGTAGGCCTGCTATTTTTATCAGACTTTCAAGGACCATAGCAAGCTACATTTGAAACAAAATCGGTAAAAGCAGTTTTTTTTTTCAATCCAACGTTTCTGTTATTTTATGGGAAACCTATATAAGTCGCAATAACTATTGAACAACAATTTTTACAGCAATGGGTGTTATACTGTTTTCTTTCCATTTAAAAGCTACACTAAATTTTAATCAAAACTGTTCAGACCGTTTTTGAGCAAACCTTATTTTACCGTTATTTTATGTGCTTTCTAGGTAAGCACTATTAAACATTTCTAAAAAATGAAAAAAAAAAAAACGCCTGGAGATACCATAGATTAGGACCTACGTACGAAATGGCATGAAAATATGACCACAGGTGTAGTCTGTAGCTCTGTACACATCCACACACACACACACAGACGCATCACTTCGAATACCACTTTTTAGGGTGCAAATAAACCCAAATTGGATATTTTGACAAAAACAATACTTTTACCATACTATGTTTAAGCTAGCTTATTGGGGGAGAAGAGAGTAAAAATAAATTAAGGCAAAAAGCTTGAGAAGTTTGTTTTCATTTTGAAAATTCTTCTGATAATCTTTCAACGGTACCTAATCTACATAAAAAATATTTTTAAAATATACATTTTCTAACCTTGACAAATTTTGAATTGTGTGACGCCCAAAAGTCTTGATTCCACTGTTGAACTTCCTGTCGCTTCAATCTTAACCTTTTTTCTATTGACGTCTCATTGGCCGGGATATGAAATTTTATTGGTCTCAAATTAGATACAGGGTCAGGAGGTCCGATCATGTCACATTTGGAGTCTTCTGTTATTGGTTTGGTTGATGAATGAGCGCTATTAAGTAAAAGGACCTGCAAAATAAAAAAGAAATGTACAAAAATTGTGGGTGATTAGTTAGTAGGCTATGTTCTTTTTTACACAGGGAGCTCTTGTATCTCTTGTGATCTTCTTAAATAGTCTAACACTTATTCCTTGAACAACTACAATGTCGGTACGGGAGAGAAATTTGGGTTAGTGGTTTTTAAATGGTAAGATAAATTAGATATTCACTTGCATGGAATGTTTGGACCTTCCACCACATAAAGGTAAAGAGCCAAATGGCATTTAAAAACATAAATAGGTAATAAAATATATGCTTCACATTAGAGCTAACATACATTTCACTGTAAACATGTTAGGATGCTAAATGATTGCTCTATCAATAGATGTTATTTTTATTACTCCGTACTGAAAGTAGTATTTTTTTCTTTTTTTTAAGTAGTTGTTTCCCAAGCTCTAATTTAGAACGAGGGAAAACCGATCAGCTGAATTTTCACAACTCTAAATTTACTTTCCCTAGCTCTCTATTAGTTCTTCATTTACTCACTACCCACGATAGTGTTTTGTTACAGTTTATTTTAATTTCATTTTGAGGTGTTGCCTTTCGAATTACTTAACAATATTAGGCCTATTCTAGAGGTTAAATACCTTTTTGTTGACACTGTAATCCTTGGTTGTCAGGATAGTGACCAGTTTTGACACTCAAGGTGTCATTGTTAAACCTTAAGCCGTGTTGTCGCTCCTAGTAGGTTGTCATAAAGTCTTTAAAACATATACACACAAACGAACATTGACTATTGTGTATTCGTTAAAATGTCCGTTCTTGTATATCTTTTAAAGACTTTATGACGACCTACTAGGAGCGACAACACGTCTTAAGGCTTGACCAAGGATTACAGTGGCAACAAAAAGATATTCAACCTGTAAAATAATTTATTTAATGATTTAAATCAGCTTTTTTCATCGTTGCTCAATCTGAATGTTTACAGAAAAAGGTATTAGCTTGTTTTCTGTGTTTTTACCATAGTGTGTGTTTGAAATTGCTCAAAATATGTCGTCTAACATTCCTGATGATTTGATGAAAAAAATGTAACGTGACTATATTTTCTCACTAGGAATATAGGCATACGCTATTCCGTAGTTATAGCAGGAAAGACGTCACCAACTCTCGCCAGCGGATCACTCAAGTCGGCGTGCTGGGAAGTTCCAGGGTTCGTAAATCGTAAATAAATAATTTAATAGCCTACCACAAGTACAAATTTGTATGCACAAAATGTAGTGTGAGGCACGTCGCACACTGAGTCCGCCTCTCTTTGCCGGGTTGGGCATACTTACAGTGTTTAGTCACAATATCCTTGCCTGCATAGGCTAAAATACGTGTTAGACAATATTTAGGAGTTTCCTTCCAGAGCAGCAACACATAATCTTACTAGGCATCGTAACCGACTAGATGTCCCTAGAGTTAGACTGTCAAGGACTCAGAAGGCCTTCAGTAATGGAGCCATAAAAATATAAGTACAATAAGTTGCCAAACTCCATCCTGCACCTTGACAAAAGGAAACTCTTTAAAATACTTACAGCGTATCTCTAAGACAAAGCCTACTACTGGCTGAAGGAGTAGGCCTACTTTGAAGACCTTCTATTAAATGCCTAGTACCTGAAGTATGGCAGTTTACAGCCTCAGTTTTAATTAGAATGTTAATTGTATGTTGTATATGTGTAAATAAGTGATTTATGTTTCAAATGATGCCATCAATCCCCCATGGGGTAAAAGATGAAGAACCCATAATAAAGTAATAAAGGAAGGTTTAAATAAAAAGATAAAGAAAGCTAATGACAAAGCACGTGTAACAAATATGCCCAATTTGATCTTTAGAATTATATACCCCCTTATTATGTGTAAACTATTTATATTGCATGATTTGTACTGACATGTCACATATTCATTGCTGATATTCAGCCTCTGTATTATGAATTTTTGTGATGAATAAATTGATTTAATTTGATTAGGCCTACCATCACCCATCAATAAAACTATCACAAAATTGTTAGTAAAAAGAAACAGTTTAGGAAAGTTTAGTAGCAAATTTCAGAATAGGCCTAGATATGAAAATAATTTGAACACTAGAGCCTAGTAAACTTAAGTTAAAGTAAAATTTAGACAAAGGCTATGTCAAGTAAACTTAAGCCTACATAAAATACTTAAGGTGAAATACCCCCGCTGCAGCAAACCTGCCGCCTAAGCAAATTTCCATTTGCCTGATATCATTTACAATTTTCTATTTAAATAACATTTAGGTTTTACGAGTAAGTTCTTAGGTTTGCTACTACACAAGGGGGCAGCTTATTATGAAATCAATTAATTTGCCAAGTTTTATCAAAATATATAAACAAGCAAACTAGCATTTAAATACATTATATTACATTTAAATACATTTTACAACACCTATCCTTCATAAGAATTTAACAAGGGGATTTTTAAAAAAAATAGGGTTTTCTCTGTAGCCAACAACCGTACAAAAACACTTGGATAATACTGAATTATTAGTTTTTTTACGCTCTTAAAGAAGGTCTAGAGAGAAATTGGGAAATTTAATGTTTTGAGGGTCAAAAATTAGAAAAACCAATTTTTACACCAATATACCCCGTTACTATGGTTCGATCATGCCGATTCTTAAACTCATTCAAGTTCATACCGCCTTACACCTTTAAACCAAATTTCATCAAAATCGGACAAAAATTACTCAAGTTATGTTTACGGACACAAATATTATATACATACTACTGGTATATAAAAATTTGAACGAATTGTGTTTTTGGCCTCCGGGGACATCAAAATGAAAAATTAAATGGGTCCCAGGCCTAGGTCTTACCGTGCCACCTACGGTAATCGCTAGCCTACTTCCCTATAAGGAAATTCGCTAAAAGCTGTATGTAAAAATTTAGGGTCTATCCATATCAAGTGATCCAACAGGGGTTGCTTGACCATTTTTAAAATAAATAATATTTTTATCCTAGATACCTTTATCAATTCTGGGCTCAAAAGTGATTTTAAAATTTTTTTATTTATTTTGTTACTCCTACGGCGGCCATTTTTGTTTTGCGGAACACGCAAATTTTTGCTCATGTAAGGGTTTGCGGTAACTTGCACAACTCGGTAACCATGAACACTAGAGTGATGAAACAAAAAGCATTTTAATCTGGAAGAAACAGCCTAAATATTATGTTCTGTACATATTTATTGAAATGTGTATCAAAAACAGTTTTAAAAACATCTCAACATTTCATAAGAAAACGGAAAAAGTTCAACTTTTGAAGGCGTATTACCATTGGAACGAATAAAATCTCAGACTTGATTTTTTTTGTGTGTGTAGCAACTCAGTAGAACTGTTTGTATTTCAAATATCAACCATGAGACTTAATTCCTTTAAAAGTTATCATTTTTCAAAAACTGAAATTTTTTGAAAAATTCAAATTTTGAGTCTCAATATCTTTGTTGGGACAAAGTTTAAAAATCTGAAATTTTTGCCAAAAACCCCTCTTATGGTTGTTATATTGCTGTATGAATTCATCTTTGAGATTTACTTTTAAGCTAAGTTACAGTATCAAGAAAATCGCAAAAACCCCATAAGCTCGGCCAACGCGGCTAGTACTGTAGGTAGCTTAAAAATTAATTTATAGGTGTAGGTAATTATTTTATTTAATGTAAACTTACCTAACTTACTTTAAACATGTATAGCCTTTTCTTGCAAATTTCTTGTCTTATGTGAAATTAAAAAAAACTTTTTATCAGATTATTTTCATTCCGGTTTACACCTTTTTTTTCAATAGGCCTAAATATTTTGAACTCATTTATTCATTATTTATTGAACCACTTTCATTTTAATAAAGAATATTAGAAATTTCACTTACAAAAGCTGTTTGAAAGACAAGTTCTTAAAGTATACAACTTTTTTTACTTGTTAGTGTTTTTTGTTCTACTTTGATCATGCTAATTAGGAAGTTTGGATGTTTCTTCATTCAGTTTGGGTTTGTCCTTCCAGTGGTTTTTGTCAGTTAAAAGAGATTTAATTTTCTCAAAACTTTGTTTATAGGCACCCAAGCTTGGTCTTTCTAATTTGTTTTAAAGGCGGTTGGTTGTTGGTCCTGCTGGATCTTTATTTTGATAACTGATGTCAATCACCTCTGCCACCCACCACTGTCATACACAAATGCAATAGAGTCTTTGGTATGAAGTGTAATTTTTACAGCTTTCAGTTGCTAGTGAGGTTACGAAGCACTTAACATTACTACTGTCTGGACGTCCGGTACAGGAATAAAACAATGGAAGCTTCTTGTTCCAGTAATCTTTAAACAGTTCTCAAATCGGTCCAGGAGTTTGTTGTTGTGGTGTTGAGTGATTTCTTCATCTGTTATAAAAATGAATTATTTTGTTAAGTAAAACTGTGTTTTGTGACTCATTTACGACTTCCTGTAGGTACTGGAGATTATATCAGTTCCCACAGAATATGAGTTATTTTTTTTCAAAATACCACAATTAACACTTTATTGATTTGTGTTATACAGGTTACGGTACATTAAATCTAAATGGAAAATAAATTTTAAGACCTCAATATAAATAGAATTAACTAAGTTTTATTTAAGTTAAATGATGAATAAAACTTAAAATTTAGCAGGATTTTATTTATTTTTCGTACCGTAGCGGTACATATATAGGCCTAATTTGTACTTTGGGTACAAAGTTTAAGTTAAAAATCTGTTTTGGATTTTTGAAATGTACATTAAGATAAGTTTACATTAAATAAAATAATTACCTACACCTATAAATTAATCTTTAAGCTACCTACAGTACTAGCCACGTTGGCCGAGCTTATGGGTTTTTTGTGATTTTCATGATACTGTAACTTAGCTTAAAAGTAAATCTCAAAGATGAATTTCATACAGCAGTATAACAACCATAAGAGGGGTTTTTGGTAAAACTTTCAGATTTTTAAACTTTGTCCCAACAAAGATATTGAGACTCAACATTTGAATTTTTCAAAAAATTTCAGTTTTTTAAAAATGATAACTTTTAAAGGAATTAAGTCTCATGGTTGATATTTGAAATACAAACAGTTCTACTGAGTTGCTACACACACAAAAAAATCCAGTCTGAGATTTTATTCGTTCCAATGGTAATACGCCTTCAAAAGTTGAAATTTTTCCGTTTTCTTATGAAATGTTGAGATGGGTTTAAAACTGTTTTTGATACACATTTCAATAAATATGTACTGAACATAATATTTAGGCTGTTTCTTCCAGATTAAAATTCTTTTTGTTTCATCACTCTAGTGTTCATGGTTACCGAGTTGTGCAAGTTAACGCAAACCCTTACATGAGCAAAAATTTGCGTGTTCCGCAAAACAAAAATGGCCGCCGTAGAAGTAACAAAAGAGATAAAAAAAAATTAAAATCACTTTTGAACCCAGAATTGATAGAGGTATCTAGGATAAAATTATTATTTATTTTAAAAATGGTCAAGCAACCAATTATTTTATTTCTGGATCACTTGATATGGATTGACCCTTTAGGCTAATAACGTAAGCTAATATTCAGGGCGAGGCAGGGAAGTATCCCTAATTTTAAAGGTAAGTTACATTGTATGACAACCAAAAAGTTAGAACCAAACTTTAAATTGGGATTAAAAGGTTACCTACATCTGGGAGTTTATTTTAATACAACTTTCCTTGGTTTTAAACATCATATCCTGCAAGTGGTGTCCCTGATCGTAAATGCACTGCTGTATTCTGGAACTTGAGTTCATCATAACTAACTCTGTGAAGCATTTGTTATGGTATTCAGCCAACTTCAAGGTAAATTGCATCCTTTAATAAATAAATAATAAATAAATAAAAATGCCTTTATTGATCAAGCGTTTCTCAGTACAACTGCTTCTCAGAACAACTCTCGTCATAACTCATAACTAACAAACAAATAAATAGAAACAATAACAAAACAGAACAAGACAATATCAATAACAACTAATCATAACAGTACAATTCCTTAATTTTGGCTCTGAAAGATGGCAAGGCATATTTTTTGAGGCCAGAGGGGAGGTCGTTGTACAGCTTTGGGCCGAAGTACGAGAAGCTTCTCCTTCCAAACTCAAGGCCTCACTCTTGGAAAGTGAAGCTGGAGACCTTCATGGCGGGTACTGCGCTGAGAGACCTCCTCCCGGAAAAAGAGCCTCTCAAGAAGGTACTGTGGCTCCTGTAGGACAAGAGCCTTGTGCACCATGCAGCACGTCATGGTGCAGCCTAAACCCATTCCCCTGGCACACCCCTACTACTCACAGTGCAATCTGAAAAGTAGGGATATTTCCCTGCCTCACCCTGTACAATGAATTAATATGTAATAGGACATGATTAGGTAGTATGATCTTGTAATGTAATAGCATAGATAAACCGTGTTGGTTAGTCTATGGTAATAGTAATTCGGTTAACATCAGTTAAAACAAATTCTCAGTCCATTTAACTTAGTAAAAATTGGATATTCTTACCTGTTGCTGATGATATTTGCCATGGATTGTTACATAGAAATTAGAGAAAGAACGGACATTTACTGGGGTTTTAACACTTCCAAGACTAGCCATTATTGATTGTTATTTACTTTCAGCTAAAATCTAAAATGCTATAAATAACAGAATTTAACGAAACATTGGTCATGTGATTTTTGTAAACCTGAGTGAGGTTAAAATGTGGTAATATATTATCAAATTGTATTTAGATTATAAAATGATTATAACTACAATTACTGTAGGGCATATTTTGGAATATTTAATAACTCCGTAAACTATGAAGAAGGTCAAATTAACGCGAGTAAGTTAATATTCTTAATTTTAATAAATCATAACAAATAACGACATTAAACTATTTGTCGTCTGATCTGCTCTCTATCGTTTTCGTTTATCGTAATCGTATGTATCGTAATCGTATCTCTGTAATCTGTATTCTCATTCTGTAGTCTGTGGCTGGTCCGCTCTTCTTTGGTAGGGCGGTAGGCACGATTTTTATTTCAGCTGCAGTTTTTGAATACGGACAAAATGAGAGTTTAAAAGTTAGAAATTAAAAAAAAAATTATTGTAGGCCTAAAACTAAAAAAATATATAATTAATTTTTTAATTAAACTGTCATAACCTAACCTAACTAACCAAACTTGCTGATAATGACAAAATTGAATAAAGGTTTACTGCTAGAAAAAATAGGTAGTTCTGTTCATAAAATAAAACTATAAATGCCTCAAATTAAATTTTATATTTTTTAATTATAAAATCAAACTGTCATAACCTAACAAAACTAACCAAACTTGCTGATAATGAAAAAAATGAATGAAGGTTTACTAATCGAAAAAATAGTTCTGTTCATAAAATAAAACTATAAATTGCTCAAATTCAATTTTATAAGGTTTTAATTATAAAATTTAACTGTTATAACCTAACAAAACTAACCAAACTTGCTGATGATGCAAAAATCATAAACAAAAAGTTTGTGCCCCCGACGGGTTTCGAACCTGGTACCATAAGTATAGCAGCCCGGTACGCTATCCATTAGACCACCGCCCGTTTCATTGCGCTAATGGTGTTCCCTCAGCCAATTGAATGCTCTAATTTTGTTCTTATTAAAATAACTGCAGCTGAAATAAAAATTGTGCGGCCGGCAGTCACGGCCGCCTTTAACCACAGGTGGCTATGCTTTAACCTTTAACTCCAGGCCTTCGAAGTGGCAACGTTGCAAGTGGTGTTGTAACAGCTGTTTTGTTTGGAAGCAGCTAAATGTTATTTGTGTGTGTATTTACGAAAGAATGACTACTAACTGAACTAGGACAATATTAACTCCGCTTAAAATGTACAGATATAGATTTTTAATTCATTTTGTTTCGGTTTTCAGTTCTGTATGTTTTATTTTCAATATTTTAATAAATTTATGTTCATAAATTTAAATCAATAAAGTGAGAATTAATGAGCTGATGCTGACGTCCCCTGTCTGCCATGTTATCTTATGGTATGTCTGTCACTAAACAAAACCACTTGCAGCGTTGCCAATTCTACCAGGCCGCGGCCTGTAGTTAAAAGTGGCCGTGCGGTAGTGCATATTAGCTGCTCTTCTCTCACTGCCACCTTGGTGGCCGTGTCTTCTCTGCTGCTGCTCTGCTGCAAGTTAAGCCTGGACTATTAACCATAGGTTAAACATACTCCCCTTGTAATGGTTTGTTTGATGCCTTAACTGAGTAAAACCATAGACTATAACCAACACAAGTAGACTTCTCATCCCATTGTAAATTTTGAAGCACGTTTTTTGTGTCTAGTGTACGTTACACAAAGGCGCTAGTGTCGATGAAACTTTGTTTCCATTATTTTAGGGTTAATTTCTTGATTTGTGCTTTACTGGGTTTGGTTATATAACTAGGGGACAAGTTATTGTTTATGATTAGATCGTATTATTTGGTTAAACGAGGTTTTAAATGGCTGTAATAACGGGAAACAAATTGTAAACAAAACACGACCTCTACATAAACCGTACATGAACTAACAATAAAATTGTCTTCAGCTGTTCCATAAGGATGAGAAATCTACTAAGGGAGTATGGTAAAACCAAAGAAACTCGAGTATCGAGAAGCTGAGAAGTTATAGAGCTTACTTGAGTATTTACTTGAATGCTTGGATCCTACATCGGTGAGATTATATAAAGATACCCCCGCCACTGCAAACCTCCACACTAAGCGAATTTCTATTTGCCTTATTTGATGTTCAATTAAATCTATTGAAATAACATTCGGCTTAACAAGTGCCTAGGTTTGCTGCTACAGGGACGCTAATCAAGTGTATTTTAGTAAAATATGGGTAGCTTAGTATATAGAGACATTATTGAACATCAACACAATAATGAGTCTGAAATGAATATGATACACACAGCAAAATAAACTTTAAATAGTAGGAAGAGTAAAAGACTCGCCTTAATCTATAAAGACTATTTTAACTTTTGTTCTGTGGCAAGAAACCTTTTATTTCATTCAAGATACTTCATAATATTGTCGTTAATCGTTATCTGTGCATAATGCTCTTTTTAAATAATAATTTCAAGATGGTTTGAATTTCTGTTTATGTCTAACCATTGATAAAAGATGGCTTTATCTAACCAGTTTTATCCATATAGACCAACCAAAAAGAGGGAGTATGTTTAATCTATGGTCTACACTACAAAAAATCATATTCATTTATATATTTACCGTTTATAATTCTGTGTATATTTTGTGGTTGTTGAACAGTCTTTTATAATAAAGCGTATGTATAAATTCATACTCAAGAAGATAATTTCGCTTTCTCGACGCTTTAACAACAGAAAACATACTACTATAACCCTTTAACATAATTATAATATGCCAAAATCGTCTGACTTTTTCTAGCATTTTTTCTTCAGATTGGCAAAATCGCTTTTGGCGCGAAAAATTTAAAACGGCCTTTTAACTTCTTATTTTGGCATACCTGACGTTGTGACGTAGTCTGTGTGTACTGGTATCTTTGTGGTAAGTAAAGAAGAAGAAGAAAATCTCTGTACTTCCCGTCCCCAGTTTCAAGCTCGAAAAATATGCAGATGATTCATTTTGCAATTGCAATAAGTGCTGTGTTGAGGCAGAAGTACCAATACAGTATTGCACAATCCCTGCTTTGCCACCAAGGAGGAATGTTTTGACTCTGTATTCAATTTGATCTTAAGTTATGATTATTTGTAACATAACTTCTTAGGCCTATTTACAATTTATTAAAAAGTGTTTTTTGTGATAGGGAGTAGGAATAAGTGAAAATGTTTGTTGAACTTTGGCACTTTATGGTTCAGGTTTATATTTTTCTTTTGAAGTGGTTTAAACACTACTATGAACCTGTGGATATTAAAAATGCAGAAACTGGTAGTCAAAACATGGTTCCTAAAAGTGTTAACTATCATTTTACAAGACAGTGCAATTACCAGTGTGGATTTTGTTTTCACACTGCTAAAAATTCGGTTGTTTTGCCTGTGGAGAAAGCCAAACATGGACTGAAGCTGTTAAAAGATGCAGGTAATAAGTTATAACCAATTTAACATTTAATTACCGTTTAAAAGTTTTAAGTTACTTCCCTAGCCATATCTTACTTATAAACTGGAACCTAGGCTAATTCTAAACACCTTATCAAAATACAGCAAACCTGCGTAGGCCTACTAAGTAAATTCCCTTTGTCTGATTGTAAAAAAATAACATTTCCTTAACCATATCAGATTTATTCCCCATTTGAATAAAATTAAGTTTAACGAGTAAGTTACGACTAGGCTACTAACTTAACTTAGAAGGTTGAAGTGTGTGTACCATACTTAACTTATTAGGCGTTTAATCAGTGTAAATTTAACAAAACCGTAACTTAAAATGTACCTACCTACTCAAAACAACGATTCAATACTTAAATAACTTAAACCAAATTAGTAGAGTCCCGCAAACTCGGCGTACAGTAATGTGGACTGGAAGGGTGCCGAGTTTGTGAAATGCCAGGTTGGGGATCTCAGGGTTAAAATAAGGAGAATACAATTTTTAAGATTTTTTACCTCCTGTTTAGCGAATTCCCCATATAGGGAATAAGCTATTACCGTAGTACTCATGGTAAGACCTGGACCCGGGACCAATTTACTTTTTCGTTCTGAGGTCCTAGAGGCCAAAAACATCATCCGTTCAAATTCATATATATATAATATATGTGTCCGTTAGCGCGATAACGAGCAAAAATCAATCGATTTTGATGAAATTTGGTACAAACGTCGAAACGTGTAAACCTACGTTTATTCGAAGGAGTTTGCGAACCAGCATGATCGGACTGTGGGAAGAGGGGTTTATAGGGGGTTTAATGGGGTAAAAATTGGTTTTTCCCATTTTTAGCCCTAAAAACATCAAATTCAGCAACTTCTTTCCAAACCATTTTGTAGAGCTTAAAAAACAAATGATTTAGTATAGGCCTATTTGAGCGTTATTATGCGCCTGATGGCTACGGAGAAAATTCAAAAATTATAAATTTAAAATTCCCATGCTATTCTTATGGAGAAAATTGTAAACTGTTGTAGTTTGCTTGTTTATGAGCATATTTTGATCAAATTTGGAAAATGCATTCATTTCATACTAAACTATTAAAATTTTACAAAAAACAATTTTTTACCACCCTCCCTGTTGCAGCAAACCTAAGTACTTGTTAAACTAATGGTATTTAAATAGGGAATAAATGTAATATTTTTAAGGAGACATTTTAGTGTAAATCCAATCAGGCTCTAATTAGAACCAGCAAGCTACAAATTAACAGACCTGATTTTGACACATTTTGCTAAGTTTAACTTGATTATGTTTTTGGTTTTAGAGATAGCCTTAATTTTGGTGTTTACTTACATAGTTTACTCAAATGGAGTAAACATTTCTACCAAATCTAAGCTAGTTAAAGGCTATATTATGTTTTTTCTCTCTTAGGAATGGAAAAGGTCAACTTCTCCGGCGGAGAACCATTTATTCACAAAAATGGGGAATTTCTTGGTACTCTAGTGAAATACTGCAAAGTAGACCTAAAGTTGCCCAGTGTATCCATTGTGAGCAATGGTAGCCTTATAAGGGAGGCATGGTTTAAGAAATATGGTAAGTTTTTCTCATCCTAATTTTACTCAAACAAATGTTAATTACCCGTGTCGGGTGTTAGTGATCTGACCCATACACCCAAATAGATTATATGAATGCCATAACTTATTTGTTTTTTTCCACGCTTCTCAGTTTTTGTGCTATTAGAATTATTTTATAGAGGATATTTTACACATCATAATTATTAGAATATATATTTTAGTGTATATTTACAGTTAAAAGTCATAGCTTTTCCCGGGAGAAGATATAGAGATGGGTTTTCTCACCTAAGCTATTTATTTCTCTATTAAGAAAATCTGTTGTTTTGTGGATAATTGGTGGTGGTTCCAAGGAGGGGGGGGGGCTACAGGTGCTAAAATTCACCCCAATGGGCCCTGGAATAATCAATTTAAACATAAATTTTGTCCTAAAATTGTAACTGTGGTTTTCTGGATACAGTTTTCCAGATGTTAAAAATGGCTGTAACGGCTTTAAAAATGCCAAATTTCCCAGCGGAGGAGCCCCAAACCCAGTTCTTTTCTTGGGGGGGTGTCAAACCCCTAGGTTGCCCCCCCCCTTGACAGGGTTCTTAAACCTATCCAGTGGTGGGTTGAAGGACTGGGTCCGAAAACTCGCTACTGGATAGGTTGAGCTTAAGATTTTTAGATTTTTAAGATTTTCGGATTAAAGAGGTTCTACTGTATTTATCTTGCTACAGTACAAACAGGCAGTTTGATCAATTCAAAACTGATCCGTGCTTCAAAACTTTCATATCAATTAATAATTTTAAATTTATTTAAATATAGTTGCTACTACACTGGTTTGGGATTGCCCTCAAGTTTACTTAAAGACTATTTCCTAATTTTTCCAAAGCCAACAAGCACTGTTTCCTTTTTCATTTAATTTTTTTAGGAACAATAATAGTAAATGTGGTTTAAACATCAGTGACATTCGTCTTATTGCATTTTGTAGGATTATACTTGGATATTTTGGCAATTTCTTGTGATTCTTTTGATGAAGAGACAAATAAGAAGATTGGTCGTGGACAAGGGCGAAACCACGTACAAAAGTTAAAGCAAATAAGAGACTGGTGCGAAAAGTATAAGGTAAATGTTCCAATATGAACCTTATGCATCTGTGAGTATGTAAGTATTTAGGCGTAGTAAAAAATGTGGTATTGTCCTACCCAAACCGGATGTGACAAATTTAAACAACACGGATGTGACAAAGTCGAACTTTAGCAAAAAGATTAGGGCTAGACCTTTCTAGGAAAATAATACAAACATTATTTTTGGACGTCCACCACCCTTAATGACACAATGGTGTCAATACTGTCAATCTGTTTTTTGGTCAGAATCCCTACCTATCTCGGTTTTAGGTTTTACTCAGAGCATGCGAGTCTCTATGTTCTGCTGTCTATGCGTTGATGGTGCGCATTTGCAGCTATCAAAGCTGTGATGTCATCGGCGTACCCAAGTAAGACGGTTTCCTCAGGCATTTTAGATCTTTGGAAGCTGTTGTAGGCAATGTTCTACATGTAGAAGTCCAGGTTAAGTATGGAACCTTGAGCGGCATCAGAAGTGACACTTATTGTTTGCAGAGTCAAAAAACATCATCGAGAATAACGGTTCCGCCTCCTCATTTAATCATTTCAGTTTACTATCAATAAATTGGTTACATATTTTTTGTTATAATGATGAACTCATATTCATATTCAAACATCTTTATTCGTTAATCATGTACATTGGTGGTACAGAATACTCATGTACATCATGTACATTGGTGGTAAAAATACTATTTCTATTTATGGGAGGTGGAAAATTCATCAAAAGAACATAATGCTAGATTTATTATATGCTCTTTTAGAATTTTATTGAATCTAGATAGGTTTTCTTTTTTTATGAATTCAAGGACAAATTTTAGAAAATCGTTACCAGCATATGAGGGTTTTTATTCCAAACATTTTTATTTGTGAGACTGGACAAACTCCCTTCTCCTAAAATTATAAGAATGCGCTGAATTTATTACTTGCTCAGATTCATTTTTGTTTAGCAATAAGAATTGTTTCATAAATAAATTGCCCATAAACTGTAAAAATTTGTAATTTCTTAAAATGTTCTTTTGCCGAATCATCTCGTTTAAGCTTAAGCATAATTCTGATAGCTTCTTTTTGTCGCTTCAGATCAGAATGCTATCCATATTTAATATTTTTGTTGACCCATATAATGCTAAACCGAATGAAATATGGGAGTGAATGTGTGCAAAATATATACTTTTTAGTGTTTTCAAATTACAATAATTACATAATTACATACGTACCTAAAAGTTTTTAACTACAAACTTATTTTAACTTATTAAGACTCATATATACTTAGAACAGAAGAATGGTTTATTTTTACATAATCATTTTTAAATAAAAATAATGACATTTAAGAAGATATATATGCATACTGGTACTGTTATTCATATTTTAAATATAACATGTTTTAATTTGTTGTTCTTACTTGTGATTGCCAGGTAATGTTTAAAATCAACACCGTTGTGAACACTTACAATGTTGACGAATATATGGGAGAATGTATTGCTATTCTGCGGCCAGTACGATGGAAGGTAATGTGCTTGTTTGTATCTTAAATTTATAAACTATCTAATTCAGCCGTTCATGTGAACATGGAAGGTAATTAATTGTAGTTTATAGAATGTGACGGATCGTTTGGAATAAACCTTTTAAAAACAATTTTAAAATAATACTAATTAAATAATATCAGTAACAAATCCAAAGAACCATTGGGATGCCAACATTTTCTTTGCTTCATACCAATCAACACAATAATGATAATTTGACAAGTCCAAAGCACTCACTGCGGTTAATCTACCTATATACAGTGTATAAAGCTAATATAAGTATCACATACTTTTGAGAAACTCTTAAGCTGTACACCTATCAACCGCTTACTGGAAGTTTTACTTTTATGAAGTCTTACTTATGAGTCGAAGTCTTAATGTGAAACTTTCTTTAAAAAAATATCAGTTTTTCGATAAGCCCTTTCCTAAGGGCACATACCTCAATCATAGACTAATCAACACAAGTAGACTTCTCATCCCATTGCAAAATTTGAAGCTCGTTTTTCGTGTCTAGTTCATGTACGGTGACACTACGTGCGCTAGTGTCGGCAAAATTTAGTTTCTATTGTTTTAGGGTTATTTTATTGATTTGTGCTTTACTGTTTGGTTATATAATTAGGGGACGAGTTATTGTTGATGATTAGGTACTAGAAACTATCTTCCCAGTGATATGAGGAACAATGTTTACTGCATTATCAAGACATGTGTAACCTTTCCATTATCATTTAAGTCATCAATTTTCAAAATGCCCTGCTATTCAGATTTTTATTTGTAAAAATGCTATTTATGATAATTTGACCAGAAGAATAAGAATACTCTATTTTCATTAAACATTATATCAAAGCTGTAAAAAAATGTAACAGTGGTCTAGGAGTCATTGACATTAGTGAAATACTTTAATACTTTTAACTGAAATGGCGATCAAACGAAGGTAGGTATTTTAAGCCAAGTATGAATGGAGATGAGTGACAAGAACATAGAGTATTGAGTGTGAAACAATGTAACTCCAGCACTAAATCGAAAATATTGATTTTAAACTTGTTATCTTTATTGCATATTAATTTGAGACCATTTTTGCTCGAGAGGCATCTATTATCTTATCAAACCCACTAAAACATTAAAAGCCAAGTTGTATGTCTGATTGAGTTATAAATATTGAGATAAAAAGTAATGTAAGTGTAGGATAAAAGGTGTAGGCTATCGGCGGTGATAAGTTGAAGAACTAGAGTGTTATTAATGTGAACGAACATGATTCATAGAAGGTGGATTATAACATAACCACCATACTCAATTGATGATTAAATTAAACTTTACAAAGGCTTCACAGAATTAGTTGTTTGGTTTTGAAGCTATGATAAAATGGTGCAATATAAGTTGGGGAAAAGGTTCCTTGCATTTGCCCATCCACATAGACTACAGATCTGTGCGTGGAACATATCCAGCAAAGCAAGAGGTGAACCGGTACAGTACGTAGGTGAACTGTACTGTTAAAATGTTTGGGACAGTTACCAGGATCCAAACCCACGACATCGCTGCCTTTGGCCCGAAGTCCATGAACACTCTCAGCTTGTAAAGAGTGGCTGAGCTGAACTCTTACAAAATGTAATAATATTTTCCCCCACCCCTCCCCTACTAACTGCAAATAAACTTCCACACAATAAATAGCTTAAAATAAATTCCAGAAACTGTTTGACTCTACTTCACTCAGACAGGTTATCGACATAGAATGTTTCTTCAGGTGTTTCAGTGTTTGTTGCTGGAAGGAGAGAATGCTGGACCTGAAGCTCTGCGGAATGCGGAAAAGTTTGTCATTAGCAGTGAAGAGTTTGAAGAGTTTCTTGAGCGGCATAGTCACCTGCCTTGTTTAGTGCCTGAAAGCAATGCTAAGGTAAGTTTCAAAGGTTAAAGTGATGAAATAGTGCCCAAACAGAATATGTGTTTAGATATGAACATTTGGCTAAAGGGAACCATAATATTCTATTCAATAGCTTTTAGTGGAGTGAGTTCTCCAGTACAGAGGAAGTTTTCGCCAAAGAGACCTATTCTTTTATGTTTTCTAGGTTTTTGCGAATTTAAGTAGATATTACCGTACGGAGCACAGTAAGACCTAGACCAGGATCGAAATAATTTTTAATTTTTGATGTCCTCAGAGGCCAAAACACTATCTGTTAAAATTTGTATACAATATATGTATATATGTGTCTTTGAAAAAGTGCACCGAAATAAGTAAATCCACGAGCGAATGACATGACGTGCCATCCACCTTCCCCCCCCCACTACAATAGCGGTGTTTTGACCGTCTTAGCGTCTAATGGCCCTGAGCTACGAGGGTGTAAAGTTAGGCGCGTCATGTTTCAAGAGGATGAAGAACAGGCCAGCGATTGACTGATTGGTTTTGAACAGGACATTTTCAATTTGAAATAATTGTAACTAATTTTTGAAATTGGTCTATAACTATTTAGGCCTACCTATATTTGGATTATTAGAAATTTTGATGCTATATGAACTTTATAAGGTACATAAAAGAGCGTTTCTAGTAAGAAGTAAGACACGGAATGCCAGTCCACGTGTTTACTGGTGTTACAATTAGCCGCTCGTGTACTGGTGGGTTAAAGGTGTAGGGCGGTTTTGGTATTGGCTGACTCACATTTTGCATCTAAATGACAGTAATAGTTGTTCGTAATTAGTTTAATAGAAAGGAGACGTTTTAGGCCCTTTTTACAAAGTACCGTACCTATAGTATTATTTTACAATAAATTACATATTACGTAACAATTTATACTTATATCTTGGCACTCAATCTTCAGACTAAACTATATCTTTCTTCGAATAATATAGATCTGAAACGGTATGGATCATAAAAATAAACCAATTACGTCACTGGCCCGAATGGCAATACTAAATAACCGTTACAGCTGGTTTGGACTTTCAAAAATAAATTCAAAATATTGACGTAGGTTGTGCTTCATCTTATCAACAAAACATCCTCAAAGACCATTAAAGCTGGGTTTTCCTAGCCGGGGAAGCGGAGAGAGGAACGCGGAGAGCGGAAAAGAGATTAACATGGTGTTCCGCTCTGCTTCTAGGAAAACAGTAACATTAAATTACCTAAGACAAGTGGAGTCCGCTCTCCGCATTCCTCTCTCCGCTCTCTGCTTCTGCGCCTAGGCAAACCCGGCTTAAGAGGGAAACAAATATCTATATCTATAATAGAGGAACTATGTATGTATATATATGTGTATATACGTTATGGACTCCGAAACCGCTCGACAGATTGTAATGAAACTTTCAGGCATTATTAAGCATCTTTCAAGGATGGTTCGAGTGAAGTTTGGTGCAGATCCGTCAAAAGGGCTCTGCCCCAGAGGGGTTTAAGTGGGCCAATGTCAGACTTTTTGATCTAGAATGTTTACAAATAAATATAATTTAAAAGCAGATGTTTACTTTCACCAACTGTTTTGTACGTTTGAATAACTACAACATTCTGTATTAGCATTAGTGGCATTAGTCATGATTTGAAATAGTGCCACAGTGTTTCTACAGATTGCAGCACAGAAAACTATTTTACTTTTGAATAAGTCCAAATGTATTAAACCCCAATCACAGCACACCTGTGCACTTAACAACGTTTAAATTCTCCAATGTTAAATATTAAAACATAAAAACCTTTATAAAAGTACTGTATTATAAACAATAAAAGGGATGACTTTTTTAAATGTATGACAACAGCTAATTTGCAACCAAAAGGTGAGTGAGCGTAGCGAACGAACATCAACCTGGAGGCGAGTAAGCGTAGCGAACGAGCTAACCTGAAAACAAGTGAGCGCAGCGAACGATTTCCAACCTGAAGGTGAGTGAGCGTAGCGAACGAACTTCAACCAGGACGTGATTGAGCCATGCGAATACTTATGAAGTTAAGCGGGGCAAAGCCCGCGGGTACAGCTAGTACTATATTAAATGTATGGTAATGTTTGATGTTTTGGAAGAGGCCACTCAAGCAATTTCTGCTCAGGGCCCTCCGAACCTGGCTATGCCACTGGGAACGAAAACTTGATTTCCTATTCTTTACTAAGCTAGTAGTAATACTTTTAGGGATTTAAGTCAAGATTTTGTCTTTAAAACGTTGCAATAACTGAAAAACATTTTGAAATATTAGTTAACATTGAAGTTTTTTTTTATTTTGGTTCTTTGTTATTATAGAAGATCATCAAGAGGATTATCAATTCCAATTAAACTAACTATACAAATTTAAATTATAACTAACCTAACCTTAAAATTATAGTTTAAATACCTGATTCAGACAATCCAATTGTCAGTGGCGGCCCTAAAGATTGCGGGGCTCAAGGTGGAGTTCAATAGCGGGCTTTTCTTAATACCTGGAATACGGCTCTGCGGGGCCTCTGGAAAGGGTGGGGGCCCAGGCACCGCCTTGGTCGCCTTAATGTAGGGCTGCCTCTGCCAATTTTTAGTCTAGACTCAACTTCCGAATTACAAACACCGGTCTGTTCGTTGTGACTACTATTTTATTTTATTGGCCGTATGTGTGTGCATGCTATGTGTTTGTGTAAATGTTATGTGTTAAAAACTTTTGACCCTGACGACCTTCATGTGAACATCATATTATCCTTGTACACACCTGACGATGACCTCCTAGCAGGTCGAAACTATAGTTGTGGATACAAGTTGTTCTTCGCAATCCGGAGGCTATTTATATTACAATGAATAAAACATTATTAACCTCTCCTACTTATAACAAATTTTCTTGACAAAAATACCCACTTTGCCTTTGCAGACAAAGTTGAATAACTGGAGTTGGAGAAGATGAGTATTTGGTAACCAACTTAGCGTTAAATTTTAATTTGTAATTGTATTAAAGTATCACTAATTAACAAAACTCATTTTATTTCAGATGCAAAACAGTTATTTGATTTTGGATGAATTGGTGAGTACATCAAGCAGTTACTGACAGTACTGGCACTAACCACGATTGATCTGTAATTTGAACTGTTCTCTAGATATATAGTCAATTTTATTTTTTGTTGTTGTAGAAAAATACAAAATATAAACATTGCTTTGCTTTCAAATTATATAGTGACACATGTTCAATCCATCCTAAATAATATATTGCCTATATATTAGGAAGGCACCTTTTACAATGGGCAGAACTAGACATTCCATTTCCAAAGTTGAAGCGAGTTTTAGAATAAAAACCAGACGGAAAAAAATGAATAATTTGTATATTAGTTACTATAAGTTTTGATGGTTGGTGCAATTTTATGATTTTGGTTCTTTAATCCATGTTATCCACAGTTGCTTTTCTTAAATAGGTAGTGCAGGTTTAACCCACTGGGGAAGGAGTTAATGCACTGTCTGCAGTGCCCTCTGTCAGCAATTATTATATAATTTTACTGAATTTGTAGACTTTAACTCTAATTTTTATGGAAAGAAAACCTCAGGTAATAAATTAATAATTCTTTTGCCATTTTGTTCACAATAAAATTGTCTACAAAAAAAGTTTAATTGGATAATCTATATAAATAAAATTATAAAGTTATACAATTTAGAAAATAAAATAATAAAAATAGAAATAAGTTTTAAAAATAATTTTTTTTTAAAGTAAACTTTATTTACAAATTCCAAGATTAATCCAGACACCAAATGACACTACTATCATAAAGTTCAATTGACTCCCTACGTAGAAAAATTACAAGTTGTTTACTTTTATAAGTAATAACATAGGAAAAAGTTTTTTGTTTTACCTTACCACGGCTTATTTTGGGTGATATCTGGTTTCCATGGCAACACAACCTTTCATTCCCAAAAATATAATTAAATACGCAAAAAACGAAGCAAGATATTTATAAACATCATAAAAGTAAAAGTAAAAAAAAAAAATTAGCTAGGCTTGTGAGTCGGATTTTGGGCCTGCAGCGGCCAGACGAGTAACGCTCATTAGTCACTGCCAATGGGTTAAGGATAAGTCGTTACATGGGCATGTTTTTTATTGCAACAAAAATTTTTTTAACTCATGTAATCCCAATGTTATTGTTATATCTTAATATTTAATGCCAATATGTTTTCTTTTCAGATGCGGTTTTTGGACTGTAGAGATGGAGCTAAGAAACCGTCTAGGTCTCTCTTGGACGTTGGTGTCCACAACGCTCTGAATGCTAGTGGATTCGATGAAAAGATGTTCCGGAAGAGAGGAGGCGTATATGTTTGGAGCAAGAAAGATTTATTTAAAGACAGCGAAGAAATGTTTTAAAACAAATGTGTTATTGAAGCAAACTACATTTACCTGATAAGGTACCTGACTTGTGTTTTAGTTAACGACAGTACGATAATTATATTATTTTGTAAACACTATATACAGACTGAGGATAACTTGTACCTGAATTCGGCACAGGTTTTCTTAAGTTAAAATACTGTTTAAATATGAACAGAATAGATTTAGAATCTAAGAATTTTGAATTTTGTTACTTAATCTAGAGATACATAGGCCTACTCTCTACATATGTCTTACATGGTCTTATGTAATAAGAGTTACTCTTTCTATAAGTTATGAATTTGAAAATATGACTTTGTAAGAGTATATTTTGAGTGTAATTAGTCAATTACTTATAAGTGCTTCTAAACAGGATTACTCCTTATTTAGGATTACTTAAGTTTGGACTTATATTGATTTAGAATAATTAATTTTCTAATCTTTGATATTGTATTTTTCAACATTTCCCCAACTCTTCACTTTTAACGATTATATTTATATAATGGTTGTTAGTGGCGTAAAAAATTTTTACGGGCCCCCCTGCAAACTTATTTTTTGGGCCCCCCCTCTCATGAGTTATTTTTAGACCACAGATACAACATAATCAAACGCCCTCACCCTCCCCCAGAGGTTTTTTTGGACCACCGATACAATGATCAACTGATTAATCATAGAAAGAGTGGTAAATAAATTATGAAAAAAAATATTAAATTAAAAATTAAAGTATTAAATTATGGGTTATGTTCCATAAAAGGGTGTGTTAAGTATTTCAGTCGTGGTTTGATGAAAGTGTTACATCATTATATCAATATTAGTGTTTGTAAATAGTTTTGAAATCAAATTAAAAAAAACTTATTTTCCATCCGTCTATCAGAATGTTTATATCAAGGTGGTTAAACATTTTACATTTAATTTATCACACACGTTATCAATTTTTATTACCCTAATAATTAGACTATAATTTGTTAATTACAAGGCAAAAATGTGGTTCGAATTCCCCTATTAACCCCCTTAGGCCCCTTAGTTGCCTTTTGCTGTATTGGCTATTAATTAACATTCGCCTAAGGAATATGTAGGCCTTAGTCCCTTTCAAAACTAAAAGGTTGGGCTACTCATCCTACACTCATCTCCATTAATTCTTGGCTTAAAATACCTTCAGTGGTATGGTCGCCATTTCTATAAGTAAAGTATTAAAGTCAAACAACCAATTATTTAAGGGACGCGATGTGCATATTTTAACCCAAATATGACTGAAGGATGAGAAAGTATTAATTTATTAGGTTAGTTTAATATTTGGTTATAATTAACCCATACACTAAAAGCTGGTTAATTTAATAGATTGGCGTACTTTCATCACAGGCTAAAATAGCCAATTGCATTTTTTATTTTAGCTTTGCATGGATTTCAAGCGTCTTATTATGTTGTAAGCGTTTATCTTACAACAAATGTCTTTAGTATTGGTTAATTGTGAGGTAAAATAAGATATGGACTAACAAACACAGTCAGTAGACTAGCAAGTATATTGTATTTAACAAAATACAATCAATATTAGGACAAAACTAAAATGTAAAATAATACAATATTAAAAGCCCCAGCCAACGTTTGACTCCAGGCACCAAAGTAACAAAATGTTTGCAGACGACATAAGCAGTGTACGAAATCACCGAGAAGTAAAATATTTCTCGGTGACGAAAGTAAGATTGCATAATAATCAAAGACCCACGTTATAACACGTTAAATTTGTTACCATAGTTCGTTATCACTGAAGAAGCCTAACGAAATTTAACGATAACTGTTAACAACATATTATTAATAACATTAATGTTTATTACTTGTTCAATACAATTACTGAATAATAATACATTTATATAAGAATGAACTCCAATTTTCGACCCCACTCGTCTCACGGGCCTCCCTGCTCACCGTTTCCCGCTCACCGGTTCGCGGGCCCCCTCAGCTCCCGGGCCCCCCTGCATTGCGGGCCCTGCGGGCCCTTCTGTTACGCCACTGATGGTTGTTAATAACTAAATCACAAATACGTAAATAGGGGAAGAAATTAAGTAATTAATCATGTGTCACAAATGACAGTATTGATGAATCAATATAATCTCTAAGTTATCTATCTATGTTTTTAAAACACTCAACATGTGCAACTTATAATAACAAACAGCTTTTCGTTCCACCAGAATTAGAGTTCAGTATTTGAATTTCTTACATTTTTCTCTTCTTACAAACATTTAACAGTAACTTTCATTAAGCAACAAATCTGTGCAAAAAAAAAAAAAAAACACACACACACACATTCATCATGGGTAAACACTCAAACAAAACTTCAATATACTGTACAAATATATATTTTAAAACATAAATATTTTATTAGATATATAGAACTCCAAAATATTGTATACATGTATACCAATGACTAGAATAGAAATAAATATGTATAGTAAACATCACATTTAGCCTACACATTAACTTAATTTGTTGGAACTTATTTTGTTCATGAACACACTCACAGTAACGACAGTTTATTATATTATATCACTAATATTTAACTACATAGTTGTTTGATGCCTAAAACGCAACAAAATTATAAATTAGATCGTAAAGGAACTGTAAGTTAACAGAGGGTTGGTGTTATAAATAACATGACTAAGGTCTGGACTGTACCCTTACAAGAGACTTAAACATTAAAATATTATAACACTGTTTTAAATACCTAATGGAATCTTCAAACTATATGGAACTTTAAATAACCCTTTGTCATAAAGGGGTTAAAAAATACATAATATCTTCATCCTCTGTATTCTGTAACTTTCAAGGCAATTGGAGAAGCCGAGGAATATTTCCTTACAGTTTTTTCACGGCTACATTACACTTTAAAAATTTACATACTGCTAAAATCCACCCAGTAGCAGTAGCATTGTGATTTAAATCATGGAGGACATTATTATTTAAGATTCAATCAATATGTCAAACTTGATACGAATACTCCAGACAGAGTTTTTCCTTGTCACTAGAAGCCATCACTCCTTCTTTGCAAGTCAGCCAATAAGTATCCAGCACTCCTTTGCCCTGAAATCATTAAAAATAGTTATTTGTGTAACTAGTGAGCAAAGTGGCACATTGCTGCACACGAGGAGTGCGGAATTATCTCGAGTGCAGCAAAGGCCTTTTGCACTTGTGTTACACATTATATTTTTCCTACAGTCACTATAAAGCATATAAATAATTAGTCTTTCAAACACTATACAAAACTTTTTTAGGTTCAGCTGGCAACACAAATAGGTGCCCTAGAGAAAGTAGTCCCCGGTCCGTATCAATCCGCTATTTTTTCCTCGGCAAGCAATGTGCTCCGTGACTTGAGAAAATAGTTTTGTATATTTTTGTAATTTGCAGTGGTTTCCGGGCCTAAAAAAATGCTTTAAAGGTATTTTCTTGTTTATTAAGATCGTAGGAATGTTTTAAAAACGTTTAAAAGAAAAGTCCAGAATGTTCAGATATACCGAAAAGAGAACATAAACTATAAACACAAAATGACAAGTTAAATCGTAGTTATAATAGTCAATCAGCTGCTCATAGTATTATTTTTCTTTAAGTGTTGCCAACCTATTTCCAAGCTCACACGGATTACGTGCATAATAGAACCACGCTGTTTTGTGTTGTTACGTTGGAATCCTGATGTGCGCCAAAGTATAAACCATACGACAAAGTATAAATATGCAGCAATTAGCAGCTTTCTGTACTATAAACAGTACAAGGAAGAAAACTTTGCCGGGTGACTGTAGGAAAAGTAATTTTACCGCCTGAATGCAGAGCTCCTTCTCAGATCTGAAGGTTTCTCATTCTATTATGTAGAGGATAAATGACAAATTCACTATTTGTCATTCGACTTGATCAATGATGTTTCCTAACAACATATGGATGTCAAAGGTATCAGTATAAACAACACATGCCCATTACATTCATCAAGTGTATCGACAATAATTGCAATGCATCATTATTCACTAGGACAATTCATGTGCATTATCAATATCAAATCCCTCCCCCCACCACTGATCATCCCGTTCTCAGTAACCACTGCCTTCTCAACTACAGCCACAGCTGACAAAACAATGTGGGGGTTATCAGACACACAGTCGATTGTGAAATTATGACATGTTAGAAACAAAAAATACAATTATAATGACTTACGAGGTGAAATACAGCTAGTTACGGTACGTATATAGATTTCTAGTACAAATAACGTATGCTTTAAAAACATTAAAATACTAAAAGGCACACATCTTATAGACTCTAGAATAAGTGACTTAAAGTTACCTTGGTTCTGTTTTCATCATTCAAGTATTGTTTAGAAACAAACAAAACGGTTTAAGTCAATGGTGGTACCACTTTAATATGATTGAATTTGTCTCATTATCTAACAACCTTTGTCTACAACAGTCCTCTGTGACATGCTAAATGTAAATTCCTGAAACTTACTTTTATGTCTACATATCCTCTATGCTCAGTTCGGAAGCCCCCAACATCATCCAATGCCTTCTTCATTTCTAAACTGATGTGAATTTTCAGAGCTGAAAAATGGCATTTATAAAAATTACTAAAAGTCTACCAGTTAATCTAGTCCCGACCCACAGTTAAACTATTGTTGGATCCTGTTATCAAGAAAATATATTCATAAATGCCTAATGCCTAGAAAGACACACTGAAAATTAAATTGACTGAATCTCTTAGATTACACAATACTTTATCAACAACTTATGAGCAACAGATTTGTATATTTTCTCATAATTATTTAAATTAGTTTCATCACTGAAGTATGAGAAAGGTAACAAATTACTTTCAATTTTGGCTCAATATAGAACTATACATGAATTTCTATTCTAAAAATGGCAACAACTTTTTAGCCTGGAAACGGAATGTCTACTTATATCATATCCATTGTCAAAGGTTCTAGTTGAATAAAACAACTACTGCAGCTGTACTCTACAGATGATATGTTTACTTAAGCATCTAAAAGTCAATGGTTAAGCTCAAGAACACAAACCTTCCCCTGTGGATTCCATACGAGAAGCAGTGTTAACGGTGTCTCCGAAGAGACAATAGCGAGGCATCTTGCTGCCCACAATCCCCGCCACAACGGGCCCTGTGTGGATACCACTGCGGATCTGTAGATGCTCAGCGGGTCTGTGGGGCACAGGGAAGTGGAGGGAACCGGCCAAAAGGTCTAGTGCCATAGTCGCAATCTCCGACACATGGCGTTTGCCTAAAGAAAAATACCATACTATACCACAGAGTCGTCGAGGTGTGAGGGAAGCTGCTTATAGATGTATAAAGGGTTTAGGGTGAGCCGCTGATTTATAAAACCAACCTCTACAGTCTACACTCGATACTAATTTAAAATAAGCTATTATTTCAAATGCAGGCTGGCTTAAAAATATTGCAGCGTTGTGAACAAATTGAATGGTTTAAATTACCTGTCTGTCATAATCCTACTGTAGTCTATGGCGACCGGTTTCGAGATGAAAATATCATCATCAGGCAGATTATAAAAATGTTAATTCACTCAATTTGAAATCGTCGAAAACTAAAACTCGAACATAAAACTTAAAAATGAAAACACACAAAAACATAAAGTTTAACAGGAAATGTTTGGGCTGTGAATTTTTACAATGGCCGTTTGTTCACTGACGACCTCAACTTGAATGAAATGAAATTTTTCTAATCTACCCATCATGAGATTTTCATATCACAATCCGCTCGTCATAGATTACAGTAGGATCATACGGACGGTCAGGAAATATAAACTATTCAATTCAACAAGTGATCCTGGGCCACTTAAGCATAATGTTATCAAGTTATCACTTCTTTTACTATAGCCTACTGGTACTAAAACATTTTTCAATGCACTCGTTGAATTCAAATCTATATTCCTAGTATATAGATAAAAACACACGTTTAATCAAACAAAACCTACCATTTTTGACAGGTAGGCCAGAGGCGACCATGTAAGAGTCCCCAATGGTTTCAACTTTGTACACGTCGTAACACTCTATACGTTCATCAAACATGTTGTAGATTGAGTTGAGGAAGGTTACAACCTGTAACATAAAATAAAAGTCGTAGTTTATATAATTACAAAACAGAAGTACGGTGTTGACTGAGTTAACTTTTAATTCCTAATCATTGCTTTTTAGGTTTATCTCTGTTGATGAATAAGAGAAATTTTGTTTACCATGACGAGCACAGTAATGAGTAATTGTGATCGGATGAAGTGATGCTCGTATTGTGCTAAAGAAACATGTTTTGGAGGTAAATCCCCTTGAGTAATAAGATAATATAAACATCCAGGTAAATTGAGAAAAAATTTCTCCATACATCGTCATCAAGCATACGATCCGTACCGAGTAATTAAAAATACCGGTACTGATAAAATAATAATACAAATTTTAAATTCCATGGGCTAATTGACACGTATCGGCACTTGACCATGCCATAGTCTACACTTATAATCTGAAATCTAATCGCTTGAATTTCTATATTCAATTTTATTTTTGTATTGCAAAATAACTGGCTTTTGCAATTTATTGAATATTTACGCTTCAGTATAAAATAATATGCTATTACTAAAAAAAGAACTAAGACACAAATTCAAACATTACAACCAAATAATGGTAATTTTTTATGAGTAAATTGGCGCTTGTTGCAATGTTCTAGCTAAACCGGTTCTTGAGTTATAAGCAGTAAGCGGCACCCCTTGCCATATTCACCCCCTTCCCCGGGTATGTGTGTACCACGCTGGAGGGCGACAACATGTATTTTCATTTTAACTATAGTGCCTATAACAACAATCAAAAATAAAATTGCGTCAGACTTCGAGAGATGTGAACAAGCTCATCTTGAAAATGAACGACCATTTGACATAAAACCTCATTAGGACAGGACGACGTCTGTCAGGCCAGCTAGTATGATATACATTGCCAAAGTTTACTATCAGTTGAATTTGCTTAAAATTTTGGTGTAAGCAACAGAAACAAAACATTTAATGGATTTGGACCGCTTTCCCTTAAAATTGTTTGACTTGACTTCATTACAAAAATGCCAATTGCATAAATACGAACAAAAAAAATCAATAACAGACGGCAACACACTTTGCTGGTGGCTCAATTGCACTACTTTTATATTCATTCTAAAACTTGAAAAAACTTTAACATGAAGATGGAATGTGTCTAGATTATGTTCATATTCATACATTAAACAGTTCCAGAACTATCTTATTGTCAATATTCACTGTTATTTATAAGCTCAATAATGTTTTGATGCACATATTATCTAATCATATTTTTCATCTGTGCAATTTACCTCCAATGGTGTACTTTCTGCTGCTATTTTTGTGAAGCCGACAATATCACTGAAGTAAATAGTTACAGAGGCATAGTACTCAGCTGGTACCTATAACAGAAGTTTATGAAATCATACACAAGGTTTTGTCACAAAAGAATGCAACAAATTCAAGTTCAATGCTATTAAATAATGGTGTAAGCCTAATACATTAATAATTTATTTGGTAACCATTTTGTGAAAATGACTGATGAAGTTATGATCGACGCTCATGTTTGACTGGACTTATGCTTAATATTTTATAAATCTGAACATCAGCTGTATTTTAATTGTATAATTTTGACAGTTGATTTATGTTTACTTTTTGTAAGTTTTCTAGAATAAAACAATGATGAAAATGTTACATTTAAAAAAGAATTGATTTTTTCTGTGATTTAGTTCGAAAGGTCTAATTTCCACAAAAGTTGAACCGTACAATGTTTAATTGTTTCTAAGTTTGATTTGTTTCGGTAATTAATCCTTTTACAGGAATTGAGAACAATTCTAATTTTATTACAACCAGAAGAATTGTAAAACATGGCGACCGTGACAGGACCAGAAATTATCGAAATAAATCGACTTAAGAAACAGAGAACGGTAATTCGGAGATCGTTTACAACTCTTTCGCAAAGTATCTTGGACAAATTGAATTCTAACGACCATGATTACCCTGAAATCGAAGCAAGTATGAAACTATTAGAGAAAAAGAACGACCAACTTAACGAACTCAATGATAAGCTACTGGAAAAACTTCTCGATTCAGACTGTCCGGAGGAGCAACTCACCGAAGAACTCAGCGGATCGGATGAGTATTTAAATAAGTTCTTTCTGATAAAAGCTAAATTTGACAGTTTGACTTTGAAATCTAATGAGGATGTAGCTTCAAGTTGTAGTAAATCATGTTCAAGTAAACCGAATACCTCAAAAGCTAGAATAAAACTTCCTAAAATCGAGTTTGTTAAATTTGATGGAAATTTGAAAAATTGGCTACACTTTTGGAGCCAATTCCAAAAGATTCATTTAGACTCTGAACTTAAAGATGAAGATAAATTTCAATATCTTATTCAAGCTACTGAACCCAAATCTAGGGCTAGGGAAATAGTCATTAGTTTTCCACCTATAGCTGACAATTACCCCAAAGTAATTGAATGTCTGAAGTCTAGGTTTGGGAGAGAAGACTTACAAACGGAAATCTATGTTAGGGAACTTTTGAAAATAACTTTTCAAAACTCTATTGAAAAGATTCCCATTTCAACTTTGTATGATAGGATTGAAACTCAACTTAGAGCTTTAGATACTTTGGGTGTAACTACTGAAAAGTGTGCAGCCTTACTGTACCCCTTAGTTGAGTCATGTCTCTCTGAGGAACGTCTTAGGGCATGGCAAAGATCACTTTTTAGTTCGGGGGATAAACCTATAGATCTTAAAACAAAGTTAGAATCCCTTGTTCTCTTTCTAAAAGGTGAAGTTGAATCAGAAGAAAGAATAAGATTAGCTATGGATGGCTTTGAATCTTGTCAGTCGGTAAGTCAGCATAGGAGCGGTTCTATTAGGAATAAATCAAATTTGACACAAAGTACGGGTAAATCAGTAGGAAGACCAAACTTAAATTCACCTAGTACAACTAATGACTCTAGAATTCCATCCGCTTCAGACTTAGTTAATGTACCGTCTAAATCAACTCTGAAATGTGTATTTTGTGAAGGTTCGCATGGTAGTGAGAATTGCTTTAGTGCTAGAAAACTCTCCTATGATGAAAAGTCAAATATTTTGAAGAAAAGGGGATTTTGCTATTTATGTTTGAAACCAAAACATCTAGCCAAATATTGCAAAGCCAAATTGAAATGCAACATTTGCGGTGGACGACATGTCCCTTTAATGTGTAGGCAGGGAGTTAAGCAAGATGACAGTGGCAATAAAGTCTCTGAAGCCCAAGTTGAAAATTCATTATCTGCTAATACCAGATCAGAGGTCTTATTGCAAACGCTAAGTGTATGCATCAAAAGCGATGATAAGGTTAAGTTCGTGCGAGCGCTAATTGACACAGGATCGCAGCGATCCTATATATCTCAGAATCTTGCAAAAGAAATGAAGTATAAAGCCATTCGAAAAGAGAGGCTACAACATTCACTGTTCGGTGGGGTTAGTAGTGAAGTTGAAGAACACACTTGTTATAGAGTCAGACTTAGTAACCCAGAGACCAACTACGCTTGCAATTTTGAAGTTCTAGATAAAATAAAAATATGCAATGCTTTACCCGTTGCGGGATTGGGAAATTGGATGAAGGAGTTACAGGAGTTAGGGGTAACAATTTCTGATACTCATTCAGGGCCTATTGATATTTTGATCGGTGCAGATGTCGCTGGAAAACTTTTAATGGATGCGCGAATAATTTTGAGTTCAGGTCTCGTTGCAGTAAGAACCTTGTTAGGATGGACCTTGTTAGGAAAGACTCCATCTACAGCAGTGGTATCTACAGAATCCCCTAACGTCATGACTACTCATACAATGTTGCTGAAGGACAAACCAATCTCACAGCTGTGGGAATTAGATGTCATTGGAATTGAAGATCCGAATTCAAGGAAGAACAAGATTGAAGAAGAAGTTGAAGCTACAGAGTTTTTCAACAAATCTGTTCAGATCAACGATGACGGACGTTATGAGGTGCCTTTACTTTGGAGAGAAGGGCATCCACCCTTGCCGACCAATGTCAACATAGCGGTCAAGAGACTTGAATCAACAGTGAAAAAACTCCAGGAAAAGAAAACATATGATGTTTATGATGCCACGTTCAAAGAATGGGAACAAGAAGGTATAATTGAAGAAGTCCCATACACCGCTGACTTTGGTAAGTTGGGACATTATTTGCCTCATCGGCCCGTCTACAAGGAAAACAGTACAACAAAGGTAAGACCTGTCTTTGATGCATCCGCTAAGGAGTATAATCAACCTTCATTGAATGACTGTCTCAGTAAGGGATCTAATTTGATTGAATTAATTCCTTCCATTCTGTTTCGCTTCAGATTAAAAGAAATAGGTGTCATTTCTGACATTAAGAAAGCTTTTTTGCAAATCAGTTTGTCTAAGTCCGATAGAGATTTCCTAAGATTTTTGTGGTATGATGATGATGGAAACCTCAAAATTTATAGACACAAAAGAGTAGTTTTTGGTGTGACCTGCAGTCCATTTTTACTGGCAGCTACTATTAACCATCATTTAAGTTTTGCTATAAGGGGAAATGGATATTCCAAGCCTTATGTCGAACAGCTCGTGCATAGTTTCTATGTCGACAATTGTGTAACAAGTGTGAGCTCTGAAAGTGAACTGAATGATTTCATTTCCCAAGCAACTAGTTTATTTTTAGATGGGAAATTTGAACTTAGAGGGTGGGAGTTTACTGACAAAACTCTCTCACCTACTACTCAACCTGTTGGTGTATTAGGTATGCTGTGGGACAAGAGAACTGACGTGCTTAAACTTAATGTTGATTTTCTCAAATCAGTTGACTTGCAAGTAGTTACAAAGCGTAAAATGCTTTCTATTACTCACAAAGTTTATGATGTTGTTGGGATTTCTTCCCCAGTAACACTGCTCCCTAAGATTCTATTGCAAAGGACTTGGTCCATGAAATTCAAATGGGATCAAGAGGTTTCAGATGACATAAGATGTGACTTTCTGAAATGGTTCAGAGATCTGGGATATTTAAGTGAGATTAACATCCCTCGTTTTTTCGCTGGGGAGGATGGTACTTTTAGTTTGCATATATTTTGTGACGCTAGTAAATTCGCATATGCTACTGTCGCATTTCTAAGGACTGAGGCCAATGGATCAGTCAATCTTCATTTCGTAGCAGCAAAGTCACGAGTAGCACCAGTGAAAGACCTATCAATCCCTCGACTGGAACTATTAGCAGCCACAATTGGAGCCAGAATTGGAAGGTCAATCTTCGATAGCCTTAATATCTCTGATTTAGAAACACATTTTTGGAGCGATTCAACCACAGTCATATCTTGGATTCAACGAGAAGACAATTGGGCTACTTTTGTTTGGAATAGATGTCAAGAAATAAGGTCATTATCTTGTAAAGACTCTTGGAGGTATGTACCTGGAAACCTAAACCCCGCTGATGTAGCTAGTAGAGGATGCTCGGCTAAGGGTCTAGTTGATTGTAAATGGTGGGAGGGCCCTCAGTGGCTAAGACAGCCTCCAGAAGAATGGCCAAAAGTTAAAATGATTTACAACGACGAAGAAATCCACAGTGAAAAGAAGAAAGGAATCGTATCAGTTTGTACGAATGCTGAAGAAACTAAGTCAGGCTGGTATTATAAATATTTCAGCAATTTTGAAAAGATCGTGCGTATGGTAGCATGGATAAATAGATTTTATAATAATTGCCGTAGAAGTGAAAACGTAAATGGTTCCTTAACCCTGGAAGAAATAGAAAAAGCTGAAGCCAATGTTTGGAAACTAGTCCAGAAAGAGAGTTTTTGTGGGCTGAAAGATGCTAAACTTGCAACTTTATGTCCTTTTGAAGATAAAAATGGTTTGATTCGTGTAAAGTCGAAGCTTACTGACAGAAAAGACCACGAAAACTTCAGGACACCAATAGTACTACCATCGAAACATCCTGTTGTGCAAATTTTAATACGCTCTAAGCATATCAAGGCTTGTCACGCAGGAGTTCAGTATTTATTAAGCATTTTGCGTGAAGACTATTGGATATTAAGTGGGCGAAAAACAGTAAAATCTGTAGTATCGTCTTGTGTGAAGTGTCTAAGATACAAAGGGAAAAGTCTACAAACTGGGCCCATTGGTCTTCCAGAAGACAGAGTAAAAGATGCTGCAGTATTTCAAATTAGTGGTGTCGATTTTGCAGGACCAATATATTTGCGAGATGGTCAGAAGGCTTGGATATGTCTTTTTACCTGTGCTGTTTATCGCGCAGTTCATTTAGAACTAGTTTCAAGTTTGTCAACTAAAGCATTTCTACAGGCTTTGAGAAGATTCATAGCTAGAAGAGGCAGACCCGCAATTGTATACAGCGACAATGCGACCAACTTTGTTGGCGCAAACAATGCCTTTACACAAGTTGACTGGGATAAAATCCAGGAATACAGTTCGGTCCAGCGAATTAAATGGAAATTCAACCCCCCTTCATCACCTTGGTGGGGTGGCTGGTGGGAGAGATTGATAGGAATGATGAAGCAACTTCTTCGAAAATGTTTGGGCAACTCAAGTTTAACTTATGAAGAATTCCAGACTATCCTTTGTGACTGTGAATCAGTTTTAAATGCACGTCCCCTCACATACATCTCTAACGAAGTGAATGACTTGATACCTTTGACTCCAGCAATGTTCTTGACTGACATTAAAGAAACTGGAACACCTGATGTGGACAAAATTAATCACGGAGAGTTGAACCGCAGGGTCCGGTACTGCCAAAAGTTAAAAGAAGATCTGAGAAAGAGATTTCGGAGCGAGTATTTGGGAGCACTAATGATGAAGTCGAAAAGGTCAACAAGGGACATACAAATTGGAGAAGTTGTCATTGTGGAGACGGACGACAAAAGACGTCTAAATTGGCCTTTGGCAGTTGTAAAAGAACTCATACCGGGTAGAGATGGTAAAATTCGTCTAGCAAAACTCAAGACGAATTCAGGAATAATTTTGCGAACTATCCAAAAAATTTACCCTCTTGAAATACAAAATTGTGAGAAAGAAGAGTTCCTGAAAAATGAAAAAATTAAGAACAAAACGAAGCAGGATAATCAAGTGATAGATAAGAAAACTGTGACTAGAAGTGGACGGATGGTTAAACAACCAAAACGGTATCTCCAATAAAAACCTTGTGTTGAGGAACAAGTTACCTTATGTTCCTCAAGGTGGGAGGATGTGAAAATGACTGATGAAGTTATGATCGACGCTCATGTTTGACTGGACTTATGCTTAATATTTTATAAATCTGAACATCAGCTGTATTTTAATTGTATAATTTTGACAGTTGATTTATGTTTACTTTTTGTAAGTTTTCTAGAATAAAACAATGATGAAAATGTTACATTTAAAAAAGAATTGATTTTTTCTGTGATTTAGTTCGAAAGGTCTAATTTCCACAAAAGTTGAACCGTACAATGTTTAATTGTTTCTAAGTTTGATTTGTTTCGGTAATTAATCCTTTTACAGGAATTGAGAACAATTCTAATTTTATTACAACCAGAAGAATTGTAAAACATTTCTTCTTTTCATATAACAGTACTGTAGCTTGTTCTATATAGATATTTCAAAGTTAGTCTCAGCCAATAGTATTAATTGGTATCATCACCGGGGATGGCGTTAAAGTGAATCTTTTTGACACGAGCTTTGCGGAGGTCGGAAAATGAGCGAGGGTTGAAAAGACTTTTTTTACCCGTGTGATGAACTATATTTTTATCATATTGCAACATTATTTAACAAACTAATTTAGAAAACAAAAATACTTCTTATGTAAAGATAACCTCTCTTCCAACTTTGTTTTCAATTTCGCCATAGACAAATATACTTAAATATAGACCAACAGGATTGCCGTGAAGTTATGTAGCACTTGCTACATAACTACACGGCACTCCTAGCGGTGGACGCCAGAACTTATGCTAACCACAGCACTATGCTGTATTTCTTTCTATATTTAATTCTATTTGTCTATGATTTTGCCAATGCAAATAAGCAACTGTTTAGTAAGTAATAAAATTATATCGTCTATTACTATTGTGTACATTATGCTACCGATATGTCAAACTATTGACAAGAATGCAACAATAGGCTATGACCGATGTAATTAATCGATACATAATTTCGAGATATGCGCTTGCTTTCGATACAATGACTGACTTTTACTTCTAGGTAGCCTACTAAAAAGGCTTTTTACTCCTTAGGAAGTAAAACAGCTACTTAAGACCACATTAATCAGAGGTGTAGTGGGGCGGGAGCACCATCTGTTTTTTTTTTTCAAGAATCCTATATTTATAAATCCTCAGTTTTTTTGAAAATGGTGAGCGTTCCTAATCTGTGAAATTCACAACTGCACCGCTGCCTTTAATCTATATATGCTGCAACACATGTTTCAGGAATAGCTGTTTTTGCTGCAGTATGAAAAAAAAAATTACAATGTATTTACATGTAAGTGTATTATAGGATTTGCTCATATTAGATAGTCAATAAAATCAAAAGTTTTTGAAGGAAATTACATTCTTGCCTAGCTGTTGTTTAAAGATAAACTAATCAGTCATCAAACATGTTCACTAAAGAAGAGGTTCTACCTTAAGAATTGTAAATACATTTAGTATTCCAATTCACAAACATTATAATATTTACCTGCTCATTCTGCTTCAGCTGCATGGCAACACTTGGAGGTAACATCTGGTAAAGAAGCATGTCGCTTTTTCTTTTCTCCTTTTTCAGTTCGCTTGCTTTTTCTTGTAGGTGACTCGCATACATCTGTGATAATCACCTCATTAACACTATTATTCTATACTGAATAACAAAATGTCCATAAATGTATGGTTGCGTATACCTGTTGTTGTGCTTGCGTAAAAAAAAAAATTGATTCACGGTTCAAAACTTATCCAACAGCTTGTGGCTTTTAATGATTCTGACTTATGAAACAGCCGACTAATTAGGTTATTATCAAATTTATTCAACTCTTATCCACATCTGTAAAATAGGGTACAATATACTCAAAATTTAGATTGAAAAAAACATCAATTAGTCACCTGAATTGTTGCCACAGCTTTCCGAACAAGTATGATGATTATTGGAGAAATGAGAAGAACCAGACCAAGAAGGAATATCCCCATCAGCTCCTTACTCTTGGCATCAATCAATGTGTTATTCACATACTCCCTAAAAAGTATAGTATGGTATAGTTTTAAAATTTCACAATATGAGTTAATGAATGGTCCTGACAAAAGAAACAACAGGTTTAGTTAGGTTTAAAAATAGGTTTAACAACAGGCTTACTTAAACTGATCAAAATTAATGAAAATGCACAAATAAGCACATAAACAGATATAATTTTCTTTGCTCTTTCAGAAAACACAACTACTTACAGTGTTATTGGGAATTTATTGCAAATAAGACTCAATATGGTATTTTCACATGCTCAAAATAGTGTATGTACGGTACTGTAGAAGAATACGTTGAATTTGAATATAAATCATTGTTTTTTTTTTGCAGAGAATGGTTTAAAAATAAGTTTCCAGGTGAGATTCCATTACCTAATGTATCAAATATTCATAGGCTTGTCAAAGATATAAAGAAAAGAAACCGGATCTGTAGAAAAAAATGTAGAATAACAATAATAGGTTATATGTAAATGACATTATATACCTAAATGTCCAGAATGTCCAATCCCGGACCATTGGATGCCAGATTACTGTATAACTGATGAACTACCAAGCCAGATTACTGTATAACTTATGAACTACCATGCCAGATTACTGTATAGTCAATCATGTCTGCAATATGTTTGGCTCATTGGTTTACTACGCTACCACTTAGTTTTTGGGTCCCGTAAGCGGTAATAATGAGGTTCTATCATCAATAAAGTTGTTAACATTTGAAATATATTTGATTGATACAAAGCTTTGATAAATTCTCTGGCGTTTCATGGTTGTGGAATCATTTGTCCTTACCTAATATCCTGTCGGATGTGTCCTTGCAGTTTCCGCAGCTCAGTAGCATAGTTTGCCATCAGATCAAAATAATCCTTTGCTTGTTCCACATTTGGCTTCATTGGTTCATTTCCTAGAATCTCTTGTCTCCTGGAACAATATGTCTTTGAAATATGCGCAATGCTTGTATTGGTATTAGATTCGTCTAAATTCAAAACTGAGTAAAAGATTTTATTTTACTCTACACACTCGGGAAGTAGGTGTTTTTATGATAAAAGCATAAAGTGAAAGCCTTGTGTTCTTTGTGAGGGATTTCATGCAAGTTGTTTTTTCGACCTCGTATGTATACATTAAATGATTTTTTACGAATTAATCAAGAATAACGAAGTGAAAAACACTATAGTTTTGGTATATCATGCTTTTGATTTTCATTAAGATATTGTTATTGGCTATTCCAAGTTCAAGAACTTGAAATTCAAATTAATTTCAATTCAAATTAATTCCTTTGTTCCCAATGTTCTTGCTCAAGAACACAGGAAGAAAAAAAAAATATTTCAAGATTTTGTCCTAAAAACTGATTTTTAAGGCTACATATTAAATAAGACATTTCTATTGTCCATACCCTTCTCTCTGCTTTTGATTCTACAATTTTGTTAAAAAGGAGAAGCTGGTTCTCTTTTGACAGTTATCACATTCAGTTTTCCTTTATTTAAATTATTCATGAACACAGCCATTCAATTAACACATATTAATCCAAATTCTTAACTGATTTCCAAACTGAACTCGATTTTAATATTTTGGTATAGTTTATTCCATTAAAATAACCAGCAAACTCTAGGTATGGTTGATTATTACAGTAATCAACATCTTATCAATACCTGGAGTCGATATCCTTCATCATTGTTCTGTTCAGATTGAAGTAGACATGTCGCAGTTGAGGTACATAATGGAATGTTGCGTTGAGAACATCTTGTCCAATGAAGGAGTGTTTTACAAATTTGATGTAGCTTTTTCCGTGTAAGTTTCCTGCACCAAAGTAGTTAATGCCGTAGACCATTGAGATACCAAAGTTTTCTATACTTCTCAAAAGGTTCTTGAATGCGATCAGTAACCTGTAAAATGTCAATGGATAGGTATTAATAGTTAGCTTACTTCCTTAAATATGAAGGGGGATCACAAATGAAACAGGTAAGGGTCAGAGCTCCCCGTTGGTTTTAGTCCGGAGTCCTCAAATCCTTTAAATCTATATGACTTAGATGTGTTCACGCTTCTCTGGTTAGCTTCAAATTTGGCAGGGAATGCTCCCCTTATGAAATATCTTGCAAAGCTTTGTCAGAAAACAAAAACAAGATACTACATAACCTCTTTTATTAGCATTGGTACCTAAGTGAAAATGTTATCAGTTTTTATATGAAATGAGTCTAACTGTCCAATATTAATTAAAGATTTTCAAGACTTTTTACATTTGAATTTAATCTTAATTCTTACACAAGAGAGTGTTTCATTGCAATTTATTCACTCCGACACCAGCCTATAACTAATTCACTCAACTTTGACATGCGCTCTGGTGTGTTAATGACAAATATAATCAATTAATAAAAACACTATCAGTAAGGAAAAAGGCTAAACTGAAGGATAAAAATAAATGTACAAATTAGTGGAAAAGCCATTACCAATCAATCCTCATGATGTGCATCAAGGCTGACCAACAATTACAACAGCACATAAGCTTGATTAATTATTTATCTATTTCTAAAATTCATGGTCTTTACTCTTAGCCACTTTGTTATTGAACTTGCAGAGTGATTTCTCCATGGTGCAAGGTCCAATTCACTTTTTTAGAGGTTTTTCTAATGTAGGTACAAATACATATAGCTAGACAACTTTACACACTTTGGACCTTTCAAACTTTTATATTTTTCCATTAACGCACACAATTTAAATGCACATTAGAATACTTACCTCCAGACACCACTGTTGTCAGTTTCCTTGATCTGAGCTGTGAGGTGACTCAACAGTGCTGCATTGACAGTGTTGTACCATCTCAGTACGTCCTTCATCTGACTTTCTTCTGGACTGATTTTCTCTCTGGAAAGTGGGAAAACACTAAAGTTATCTTTAATCTTTAACTATTGATATAGCAATACTTGTAGTACTCAAATGATAATCTCTCTGATACTTAGAGCTAGTGCTATGTATGCTATCATACATTTTTTTTCTGAATTACACTAATTATTCATCAACTGAGAAAGCATGTGAGCATTTGACTAATGTTTACTACCAGACTAATAATATATGTCTCCAAAAAGTTCAGAAGATATTATACTCCAACGTTATATCAATAACCAAACCATGTATTATTAAAACAGACTATAACTAGAGAAATTATAAATAATGCATTTATCTCATCCATTTATTTTAACTGCACACCTGCTACCAATAACCTCACTAACGATTCCTTCGACTGCAACCACTAATGTAGGGCATTGTAGTACTAAAGTTACAATTAAAGATTTAACTTATTCCTTAACTTCGGATCCATAACTTTGATGACTACTAAACAAAAATGATTTGGTGAAAAAGACTAGGATAATCCGTTTCACACAATTACAAAACGGTTTCTTATCAAAAGAAAGAGAAGGTAAAGTTTGAACAAAACTACAAGAATAATTTTCAAAGTCAGAACTTAAAATGTACCTAAATTTACAAAGTTAAAGAGTCGGGTGACCTGAAGCTCTTGATCTCCTCCTGGCATTTCTCCTTGGTCATGGGCTGTAGTCCTGTGTCTTCTAGGCTGACTGGAGGCCAAGCTGTCATGTCTGTCAATGCTTGGTCTGTAGCTCTAAACCTCTGAGTCAAGTTGGACCTTATATTACATCACATCAACTTTATTGAAGAGAAAAATTAAACATTTATATTACCGGTACCAGTATAAAGAATGAAAAGGGATATTTTGTCTAGGTCTAAAAACAATGTTTTGTAGTACATGTTTAGCTATTCTGTATTGTATTTTGATGGCAACTATTATACACAGCAGCCAATGAGTTTGCTATTTATACAACTAGATATTCCATTCCTAAGTTAAAGTTGTCACCAGTCTTCTTATCAAAATCATCGTAGTTGATGTGAGCCCCTCCATCGACAAATTGTGCTGATATAAATTACTGGTTTCTGTTGAATACGCAAACTTTTTTACCAAGTCAAACTGGGCCGATATTTTGTGAGCTGTAACAACTTTTTATGACCCACCTCAACCAAGTCAGCAACCAAAAATAAGATAGAAAATAGGGCTTTTGAAACCGTGACTGGGTCACAGAACTGCTAATTTTTAATTTAAAAAATAGCAGCAGCTGGTCCAGGTAAATGGGGTGTCTACTTCAGTATCCTTGGCAATGGTACCTTTTGAAACTTTAGACTAATATTTTGGTGAGTCACAAAATTTAAAACCTATTTGAAACAGTAGTCTACTTAAAGCAACAAGAGGTTAAAGTCAACTAATTCTTGAAAATAAAAATTTTTGCTTTTCTTTGGTCTTTTAATATGTGGAAGAGAGAACACAAACAAATATTTTTAGAAATAGTAGGTACAATATTATTTCATTACCTGAGAGTGCTTCCGTTGGTGAATATGAAGAATGCTACTTCAGATCTTTCTACCTGTAGACTCGTCACGACTTTGCCTAGCTCTGTAGCTATTGTCACCTGTAAACCATGGTTTGGTCAGTCATAATAATATTTTGTCATACTACTGCAAAAATTGCAGTTTTTAGCGAATTTCCCATACAGGGAATAAGCTATTACCGTAGTACTCATGGTAAGACCTGGACCCGGGACCGATTTTTTTTTCGTTTTGAGGTCCCTAGAGGCCAAAAACACCATCCGTTCAAATTCATATAATATATATATATATATGTGTCCGTTAGCGCGATAACTCGAGCAAAAATGATCCGATTTTGATGAAATTTGGTACAAACGTGTAAACCTACGTTTATTCAAACGAGTTCGCGAACCTGCATGATCGGACCATGGGAAGGGGGTTCATGGGGGCTTTTATGGGGTAAAAATGGGTTTTTCCCATTTTTGACCCAAAAAACATAAAATTTTGCAATTTCTTTCTAAAATATTTTGTAGAGCTTAAAAAAACAAATAATTTAGTATATTGAAGCGTTATAATGCGCCTAATGGTTACGGAGAAAATTCCAAAAAATTGTAAATTTAAAATTCCCATGTTATTCTTATGGAGAATAAGTTAACTGTTGTAGTTTGCTTGTTTATTAACATATTTTGCCCAAATTTGTAAAATGTTTTTATTTCTTACTAATTATTAACATTTTACATAAAAAACACTTTTACCCTCCCTGTTGCAGCAAACCTAAGTATGTTTTAAACTGATTCTATTTAAATAGGGAATAAATGTGATATTTTTAAGGAGACATTTTAGTGTAAATCCATTCAGGGAAATGGAAATTCGCTTAGTCTGCAGGTTTGCTGCGGCGGGGGTATTAATATATGCGTTGTGGATCTAAAGTAGCTCTTTTTTACTCCCTATGGAGTAAAAGGCCTTTTTAGCACCTAGAGAGCAAAATTCAGCTGTTGTAAACTCAGTTATTGCAAACTTTGATCGTAAAAAATCGCATGTATTAAAAAAAAAATCTATCGATTTCATCGTTTGTAGCATATTATTGCCTTCTTGTCATTAGTTCGACATATTGATAAAATAATGTACACTACTGTAACACAGTTGTAAATAGACAAAATAATTGATTCACTTACTACATAGCTGTTTGTTTGTATTTGCAAAATTAAAAATAAGCTGGAAGTTTAGTTACATTAAAAGTGTTTTCGTTTTCTAACTCAGTTTGCAAACAATTTTGCAATATAATGAAAAATATAGTTAATTGCACGGGCAACTAGGGCAAGAAGTGTCTTTTTAGCCCTCACTCATTTGCCGAATTGAGTTCTCGGGTGGAAAAGAGTCACTTTATGCCCAAGTGATGAAATACTATTTTTAGCTAAAAGGCATTGATTTTAGAAATAAATTGTCTCCCCTTAAACACATCAACTGCCTATCAACTTGAAAGTGATGCTCCATCAGAAGTTAGAACTGTGTCATTGTGTTATGGGCTGAGTGGTGGGTGAGGAGTGGTATAAACGGAAGCGCCCCAGTGTGACTATGTGTTTATGTGTCAGAGTTTGACAGCTGGTAATAGGGTGGACATTGGTTGGGTGGTGTAGAGGGTGGCTTGACCACATCATTGCCTCCAACTAAATGATTGTACGATGAAATACTTGCCTACATTATGTAGGTAGTTGCTAAAGCCGAACTAAATAAAATAGTTGTAAATTAGATACTGTAGTTTTCATTTCATGTTAACATTTCTAAGGCAAATTTATAGAAAAAGCGTTAGTATAAAAAATATATACCTTATCAATACATAGATAGGTAACCAACAGGTTATAAAGGATCAACGTTCAATCATGTAAAAGATTAACTACATTAATTTGTTACGGTTCAAAATTTAAACTTTTTTTGACCATTGGGCTTTTATAAATTGATCATAAGGAAACATTTAATAATTGGTCAGTAATAAAACTGCACAGATCTTTCATTTTCTTACACTGCATCCTGAAGCTTGTGTCCCTGACCTTAGCACTTAGCAGGGTGTTTACAGGGTGTTTTTAACGCGCAACCCAAATTAAAAGTGCTGTGAGACACATTTTAATGACAAAACAACTTTATATTTTTGGGGTTCCCAGTTTTCATTACTTTATTGTCGATCAGCTTATATGCGTTGTTGCATAGTTATCTATGATGTTTAGTGTTATTGATTGGGAATTTATTGCAAATAAGACACAACATGGCGTTTTTCCCATCTCCAAGAGTTAAAAAGTACTATACAAGTATCATATAAGTTCAATACGATGAAAGTAAATGATTGGGTTTATACCAAGATATGTTTGAAATAAAGTTTCCAGTTGTGTACCCAGTAGGCCTATACCATAGATAAAACATACTCCGCCAGTACCTAATAAATCACAATTATTGATACATAAAAATTTAAGGAAACCGAACCCGAATTCAAGGAAAACTTAAATCTTTAGATTTAATTGAAAATCAAATCATGCAAATAGAACTTCACCTAGTCCGCAGTTTTGCTGCGACGGAAGTATTTTGGTTTACCACGAATTCGGTTTCCTTAAAGTTGTACAAGTCAATAATAGTACAATTTTAAGGAAAATGAATCAGCAGTAAAATAAATGACAAACTGTTGGAAAGAAAGCTAAAACTACAACCGATTAAAACAATCGATTAATCGATACATACTTTCGGTAAATCGGTTACAACCAAAGTTTACAAATAATTTTCAAAAGCTGATTCTTACTCCTTAAGAAGTAAAAGGAGCTTTTATGCCTTTAGACATTATACCCGAAACGGTCCTTTTTGCCGCTGTATGACGAAATAGTATATTACGTTACTAGTCCTGAAAATAAGTGTTTACCAGACGAGTGTGGTCGTTCCCGTGCGAGACGAAGTCGAGTACGGGATTACCATACGAGTCCGGTACACACATTTTGGACGAGTTACGTACGATAGTTTACGCCATACTACTTAATTCGTACAAATCCTTATATATTTCCACCAACTAAAGGACTAAACATCACTAGTCATTACCTCTAAGAGAACCAAATCATTGCCACGCAAATACGGTATAATCAGCTGAATGGTGTCCGGTAAAACTCATTGCAGAACAGTATTACGCAATGAAACCCCATTTGAATAAGCTGGCTGCAAACAGCTGTTTTCTGGACTAAATCCTTGCGTGGGAAGTTCGTAAAAATAATGTAGTGTGGCGTAAAAGCTATTACTTATCTTAACCTACATGGAACAGTTTCACGGTAAAGGACGGTTTGTTAATAAATAAAGGACAAACTTACAAACACGTCAAGAATTTTATATACAGTAATAGATATGTTAAATATATTTCAAATATTTTTTCATTGTTTTCAAAATATTTTTTTATCTATTTTTATAATATTGAGCACTATTAAAAAAATACTGTTTGAAAAATAAAAATACATGCAGTATAACATATTTGAAATCATTTTAAAAGGTTATCAAAATATTTACCTAAATTTTAATAATATTTTAAGATTTAAAATCAAATATTTTAAACACGTTTTTGCGCTACTGTAAGGATTCATCGTTTCAGTTTCACCATGCAATAAATAAACGTATGCCTTAATTTTTTTCATCGACTTTAGCATACTCTCCGTAGTGAACAGTTTCACAAAATACCCTATTAGGGGTTTTAACCATCAATACGTGTCTGTAAAACACAATCAGCATTTGTGAAATGCATAGCAAATGTAAACATTGCATATTTTGTACTGTTTCAATAAAAACCAATTCAAAATATAACACGGTATCTTCGAAACGCCCAAGGCAGAGCCGTGATGGGTTTATTTAATGACCGAATATATGAAAGAACATCTTTTATGGCATATAGAAGAATCCCATTGATACATATACAAACCGGATGTACAGTTTGGTATTTATAAATCCAATATATAAACAAACTTGACCATATAAATAGTTATTGGTGACATGATAAAAACTACTTCTAAGTATTTCTATAACATTTCTTTCCTGTAATCCTTTTATTACCCACCATTGGCAGATCTTGCATTATTAGTCCAGTGAGAGGTAAGGGAGTAACGGAGACCATTGTTGGACAAAATCAGATAGCCAACTAGTCCCTCGACCCCAACCTTTGGGGAATTGGGGACTTAAAATTTAGAGAATGACATTAAACTTATTATCCTAGAAACAAACATTTTTTACGTCAAATCGATTTGTTTCATCACGTTACTTATTTGCAAATATTAAACATTTTATCTTATTGTAAAAAAAATCATAAAGATTCGCGTGCAAATTAGTTTAGCCAAATTTTGATTAGTTTTTACATTGCAGTAGGAAATGTACCCCCTAACTTTGCTTCAAATGTGCGTCTTATTTGACCGAGTTAATTTCAAGAACTAACCTGTCATGGTATTTAAATAGGCTGTGAGGGCCAGTGAAACCTTTTTTGTTATGGATTATAATTTTGGCTTACGACATAACTTTTGTGGATATTCTTACTACTATTGTTTCTTGACAGTATTTAAACATAGGCCTATACGCAAAGGTTCCTTATATCATTAAAACAGAATTAATTAAATACCGGTACTAAAAATATGAACAGCTCAATAAATTTTGTATTGTTGTAGGACGTTACGAAAAGAAGGAAACATTTTACTGCAATCAGGAGGCGAAGATAAAAAACCAGCATCATTAGGGAAAACAAAGAAAAATGTAGGATCAGGATTGGATTATCCATTCGCAACAAAACTAATCCATGACAACTAGCGTTTATTGAAGATTTTCAAATATTTAAAAACTTGAAAAGTTTTATAACTTTTCGAAAACCATCCCTTAGCATTTTTCATAGTTCACTACCCCCAAAAATATCAACTCATAAACGACACATTGACAAATAAGGAAAAGGTGAATTCTATAATCATCTTTTAACATTTAATGTTTAATGTAAAGGTCAAGCCAAACGTACTATAGGTTAATCTTTTGAAATATAATACGATATAAATATAATTGCAGTGATCTGTCGGTGGCACAAATGGTAGTAACTGCTGCCATTACTGTGGGAGGGAAGGGAGTTGTGTGGGTGAACGTGATTAGAATTGATGAGAAAGAAACGTGAACCACCATTCCAACCTATATTCATCATAACTTGATACCTTTAAGTGTCATCAATCCAAATACTATTACACTTAAATACAACAGTCATTGTACGCTTGGGGAAATTTCCATAAGGTTTTTCAAATTTTGTAGAAAGAATAAGTAAACGTTTTATAAATTTTTAAAAGGTATACGGAAACAGGTTGAAGTTTTCATGATTATTTTGGAGTCATTATTTACATTATTTATTTGGGTTCATTGGATGTAAATTGCAATTTTGACAGATTCAGGAAACTGCTATTACTATCTTGTCATAAAACATAAACCTTGGGAAAATTCTTATTTTATTAACAATTGAGATTATTGTGTTTTAAGCTCCTCCATTTATAAAAAGTAGCAAATTAATGTTATTAACGTTGAATATAATTATCTTGAACTGTAAGTAACTATTGAATATTTTCAATGAGTTAGGTGAAATAAGGCTTGTTAACATTTCTATATATCCGTAGCTATAACGATATCCCAGTTATAGATTTTTACGCCCTTTTAATACACAGTTGGTAAGTTACATTCTTTTGATGGATTGGAAAATTTATGTATCGAAATCAAGACGGATTAACCTGTTGCTTGAGGTTTACCATAATAATTTTAGCTTACTTATGAGACATTTAAATTTTTCAGGTAACCAAAACAGCAAAATTACACGAATCCTTATGAAATGTTCAATAATTAGGAGTCCATAAAAAATTTCCATAATATACATTGAAACTTTGAAAGCCAACGGGGTAGAGCCACAATTTTTCGATAATTCTATAAGGACCGACAAAATATTTGAAAATAAAGGACTTCTTCAAATATTATGGATATCATTTGAAAAATATAAAATAAAAATTCCGTATTATAAAGATACAAATGAAGGAAAAAGATTCTCCGCTTTGAGCCACAAAGGGTTATAAACATTGTTTGAACTTAAGATTAGTTGGCAGTTGGCACGTGAGGGGAGACTGCCACGTTTGCAAACTTGGTGAAGAGATGAAATACAAGGCGATAAAACCTTCCCTCGCAACGCACACCTCAGGTGATTTTGGCGGGAGTCCGGTCCAGACGTGTCAATTATTGCACAACCGAGGAAAGGTACGATTAAATTAAATTTCAAGTAAAAAGCTCAACAACTGTTGTATCATCAAATGTTGGAGTTTTTTTTAACAATAAGACAAACTGCCTAGGCTACAGCTTTTGCATACAGGGTGTTTTTTTTTACTTCTTTATTTATAAAAACAATTTTAAAAAGCAAGTCACCTATTGTGGCATATTAAATGAAAGGGCATGATAAAATTAAATTACCTACAAAACACTCTTCTGCATTTTCCAAAAATTACACTCCTCCACCTTCAAAAAATCCCTACTTCTAAAATAGGTTGCCATTCTTTTTATTTTTCACGCTCTTAACGTGCGTGATATGTTACAAGGGGTACCTTGCAATTTAAAATTTTTAAGTTAAAGGGAGGGGGAGAAAGGGGGTGAATGGGAACTTAACGTTGAATTTATAACAATTCTGGCCTCTACGTCAATAGATGATTCCCGCAAACTGCATATTTCTATCTATTGCAGTTCCTACATAAATAAGAAGCAAAACACCCTGTTATAAGGGAGGTATTCTTGGGTATACAAAAGTCAATACTACTTATGTCTATGGTACCACATCTTGCCTGCATCTCTACAGCTGACACCTCCTCGTGGTAGACCAGCACGTCCTGGAGGTAGTAGATAGTCTGACATATCAGTGCCAGGATGGGGATGAATGGCAGGATCAACATCTGCAGCTCCTGGAAGCGTCGGCCGTTCTTGTACGCAGGGTTGGCAGCTCTGTCGGGGCAACACTGGCTGCTGACCCCCACGTTGGATACAGCACTGTCCTCGGACACCATGGAATCTTGGTCCTTGTCCTTCATCCTTGGCAGTATCTGGAAAGAATATTTTGTTATCAGGGTCACATGCACTCATGTCATTTAAATACTTCATCCAGACTGATCTTTATCTTTTGCTACTTCCTCTTTTAATGTCCGACTTCTAGGGCTAGTGCAATCCAAAGTGCCTACTTCACGGAATCTTCTTTTAGTTACTTCATGTATGTAAACTGGAGTGACTAATATAATAACCCTGTGGCAAAATGTGTAATGTACTTAGATTTAAAATCTCACGTGAATAACAATATTTAACAGAAGTTGAATTACTTTATCTTTTAAAAGAAGAAGTTCTCATACCTAGTTTAGGTAAGAAAAGATAAACACAAAAATTGTAAATAATCTTAATCGAGTCTGAAATAAAACAAATATAAAGCTAAATTGATATTTCGCTAGTTTAAAAAATGTTCTAATTAAAAATAGATCACTTACATAAATTTATAATCGATTGAAATGACAGTTACATAAATAACTACCATATTTATAAATCATGTGTGTGAATGTGAAAAATAGTAGTTGTGTTTTTATTAGCCTTTAAATGTTTCGTTATAACTATAGACACCAGTAATTGACAATGTTTACTCCGTCTGTACAGTATAGTGACTAGTGAGTCAACTCCACTTTCCACTTACCACTTTCTGCAAGAAAGGACCACGGGTTCTGAGATCACATAAAGAAACAAGGATTTTCATTTAAACTTTACAGAACACGTTGATGGACATTTTACTTTTAACAGTTGCCAGAACGGAGGTAATATTGTCTTTAGGTGTTTCTTTTCCATTAAATAGGCTGTAAACAAAAACTGGTACTGTATACCGTAGTTTTATTTATCTGACGCATTTAAGAAAACATTATTGGACCAGTTTTTTTTTTTTTTTTTTTTTTTATTAAAGTTGGTATATATGGCTTCTTAGATAATGTTATGTACGTTGTAAACTTTGTTAAGACAAATAGTTAAATACAATTACGTAAGTGTATTGGACTTTTGATACACTGACAAACCAAAATTACTTTGTCATACTTGTGTCTTACTTTGTCGTACTTTGTGTACTTGTTGTGACAAAAATACTCTGCAAGTATTCAAGACGTTGGCAATGATTGAAATTTATTCCTCGCTTAAACATGCACAAACTACTCAATGTTTTGCCTTGATCAACTTTTCCGATAGTAAATGTAACAAATTGTTCCTAAAAAGAATTTTGATGAACATAAAAAAGAAAAGTTTCAATATGTGTAAGATTACACGTATGTACCAGGCCCAGCAGATTAGAGGTCAGTGTAATGTCATTAGTTGGATTAAAGGGCCTGACGTGACGCCGATGACGTCATACACCCAGCTGCTTCTTTGCGAGACGTGCACTTTTACCGAGACCTACTTTAGTCTAATCAAGCCTGGTGTTTCCGAGAAACATCCATAGACGTTGCCGAGGGAATAAAAGCGTGTAAAGGGGGTTTTTGTTGTAACCAAACAGTTATTGACACATGACGTGTGCATATCTATTGACTCTATACTTCGAAAGAGTGTAATCAATCAATTTTAGATCGCAAATTATGTCACATTCTAAAATAATAGCAAAATAAAAAATTTACTTTTTGTTATAAAACGATTAGTTTTAAGATAATTTAAACAACATTTTTATTGTAGAAGATAATTAAGAGAAAATTTTGTGATTGAACCATCATCTTGATTACAGGAGGCCTAATAATTACAGCAAATTAAATTTGCCCGAAGGGACTGTATGATAAAAAAACCAACTCTTCAGTTTAAAAAGTGATGTTTTATGTGCTTTTACACATAGGCTACGTAATCTCATGATAAAGATACTTAATTAAAATTAATGACAATTCGGACGTAAGGAATTCACAAGCAGTTTTAGATCATTATTTTAATAGAAAATCCAAAGAGCTACTTTTCACGATTCAGGTCAAGTAAATAACCTTTACTTCTGCGTAGGATCTGCGTCTCTGAATATTCCAGAACGTGTCAAGGAATTATAAAGCGACAAAATCCAAATGTAATGCCAAGTGCAGGTTTTACCGTTGTGTAGATGAAATAAATTAGTTTTTACATGACCTGGTGTGAAAGGTTGACTTAAGTTTACGTACTAGGTCGTGCTAACGAAACTTCAAACGTTACACTAAAGTTTATCTTGATTTCTTATTGAGCAAACAGTCAATTCAATTAAGAGTTTTGAAGCGTTTAAGAAATAATGGAATGCCTCAAAACGATCATGTTTGCGAGAGATAACGTTTACATAATTCATGAAATGTGTCACAAGTGTCAAAACAAGGCCGCAAACATGGACTACATAACACAACTGGCAGACTGAGTGGGCTATGATAGACAAAATGGTTCGCTGTATGTATGTATACTGTGCAAATCATATGAACATACTACAAGATCTCCCTGAAATGTTTATGTTCAGAAAAATAACGGTAAAGAAATCGATGGATAGAAATTCCATGTAGGCTTTGAATTAGTTTATTACGACATTTCTATCAAAATAACAACTTAATTAATTGTCTGATCTTTTAATTCAACACAACAACTCATTTAAACTAGTGTACCTGTTGCTCGAAATCGAGCAATTGTCAAGTACCGGTATTATACAGAAGTTATTTGAAAACTACAGTAATAACAGTCATAATTTTCAATGAGTTAAAAGACCCGACTAAAACCTTATGTAACTAATTGAAGTACTCACGCTATTTAATAGTGCTTTGAAATAATAAACGCTTCTTCTAAAAATATTTGAGCATTTTTTGGTCCCGGCCTTATTTTTTAGTGTTTTATACAAATGTTTCCCGACTTAAAGCTGTTACCAGTAAACATTTCTTGCATGTATTTATTTGATCTGACTTGAGGTAGGTTTACTTTACTACTGTGACAACATGATGTGTATATTCTTCATGATTTTTTTACTTCCAAAATAAATTGCTTAGCATAACTGGCAAAAATGATTCATCTCCCCAAGTGATTGCGTACCTGGATTCCTTACTGTGAGACTAGGCCTCTCCTCTACTCTTCTCATAAGTATAAGATTTCCTAATAATTGTCTCTTCCTCCTGTTTTCAATATTTCTCCTTTAAACTCAAGGAATTGTCTGTTCTTCCAACAAAACTGATTGACTGTTTAGATCTTACTAATATTATAAATCTGAAAGTTTGTGAGTTTGTGTGTATGTTTGTGTGTATGTTTGTGTGTGTGTTTGTGTGTGTGTTGCTCAATCACGCATAAACTACTGGACGGATTGGGCTGAAATTTGGCATGATGATAGCTCACATTCCCGATTAACATTAAAACATATTCTTATCTCAAAAAACCCTTTCGGGCTCCGCCCCAGTGGCTCTGTAGTTCCCCATGTTAATCTTATGATTTATCATATTTAAAAGGAATTAATGAATCTTAACAGCTGTTTCAATTAAACAAGTTGGTTCTGTTCTATGATGTTCAATAGCATAAAAGTTAAAAGGATTACCAACAGGGTGCAGCACTATTAATTTTTTTAAATATATGACAACAGCTAATTTCTAACCAAAAGGTGAGTGAGCGTAGCGAACGAACTTCAACCTGGAGGCGAGTTAGCGTAGCGAACGAGCTAACCTGAAGGCAAGTGAGCGCAGCGAACGAGCTCCAACCTAAAGGTGAGTGAGCGTAGCGAACGAACTTTAACCAGGACGTGAATGAGCCATGCGAATACTTATGAAGTTAAACGGGGCGAAGCCCGCGGGTACAGCTAGTTTGTCTATAACCTCCTAAATATTACAAACATCAATATTTACTTCCAAAACCTGGTGAGTTTCTTTTTATATACAGCTGTTTTTGTTTTTAAATTAGTTTTCAATGTAAATGTTATGGGAAAATGTGACCTTTGAGAGCGTCTCGTGCCCTTAAGGGTAAGAGTTTTTAAATTCTAAAAACTTTATGCAAAACTACGAATTATTTTATACCTCAAACGTTCAAATCAGTCCAGAAATAACGGAGGAGTTTTGTTCACAAAAAATAGCCCTCACGTATTAGTATGAGAGAAGATTATCGTAAGTTACTTGAAAACAGTACATTTAACAGTATAATATTATCATATTTGTATTATTTGGAGCCCTTAAAGTCTGTAGCAATATTACTATATTGTTTTCTTAGACGCATATTCTTCCAGTCTTTACGTATAGTGATTTCTTGGTACTAATAGTTATGTTCATACCATAACAACGTTTCTGAAAATTACATATTCATTGGTCGTACCCTAGAAAAATCTTGGGAAAAGTATTATTATCAATTATTATATTCATATTTCCGTCTGATGAACGTTAAACGAATTAACTCCAAGTTAAAATCCATGCAACGATCTTGATCATAAGGACTTTTGAAAATGTCGCGAATAGAAAGTGTAGATGAACAGGATCCTCACTCGGGATCCCGCGTCACTCCCGTCCCGGTCCTGTCATCCCGCTCGGGTGATAGGTTCCCGAGGGATAGCTTCTCAAATATCGGGATGTCCACACCACAAATTGGCCACTCAAACTGCAAACTGTCTTCTCTTGATCAGTCACAGAAAATTTCACTAAAATTTCAAGTACTAGGTTAAAGGTGATATTTAGGTGCTACTGATTTTTGTATAGGTTTATGAGTAAATTATAACGAGACATATTATACAATTTGATTTACTTCCCAAATTCATCTATTGATTTATTTTTTATAAACTAATAAGGACTAATTGGGATCTAAAATTGCGATAATGCTATTGTACAGGGTGTCCAAAATGCCCCGGGTCTGTTATATATTTTTCGATATATTTAAAATAGAAATAAAAAACTTGGCACAAAGTTACTGGACACAATTTTCTTTCCGTAGTTATAATGACACAGCAAAGAACGAATATAACAAAATAATACCCCACCGCAGCAAACCTTTAGACAAAGCGAATTTCCATTTGCCTGATTGGATTTACACTAAAATGCCTCCTTAAA